CAACCCGCCCGGGACGCCCGTGGCGTACGACTACGACGTGGACAGCCCGCCGCTGCGGCGCCTGATGACGTTTTACATGCTCGGCAAGGACCATGCCGGCAACTACTGGTTCCAGGGAAACTTGCGCGCCAGGGCCTGGGATGAGATGGAGACGAGGTTGACGGAGCTGGGCGCGGGGCCGGTCGGTGGCAAGACGGCTGACGGGAGTTATACAATACTGTATTAAAAAGGTTCACTGGTAAAAGGAAGAAGGGGGTATTAGATACAAAAGATGACAAATATGAGAAGGAAAAGAAGAGTGAGAAAAATAAGTTAATAAAAAGCAAGAAAAGAATAATTAATTGGCGGTTTAGTTTGTCGCCCTAGTGCTCTTCTCAGCTGCCTGCCTTGGCGTCGATGCTCGCTCCACCCCCACCAGGGGTTCCCCAAACTTTTTCAACATCCAGCGACCTTTTTCAACCTCGACCATCCTTTTCTCATCCGACCGCAAACGCCAGCAACCTGCTCACTCAAGACAGCGCCACCCCTCCCACAATACGCGCTACATACAGACACACACACAGCCGCTGCCGCAATGGGGTTCCTGGCGAAGCTGCTGGCGCCGCACGTCGTCGGCCCGTCCGAGCCCGCCTCACCAGCACCCGCCGCCTCCTCCTCACCAGCATCCGTCCCGGCACCCCCCCAACCACTTCCATACACGGCCCCCGCCATCGACACCAGCCGGACGGCGCACCTCACGCCTCTGCAGCGACAGGCGAAGCAGCTCAGCCTGCTGGTGCTGGGGGCGGGCTTCATGGCGGCCTCTGTGGCGGTGACGCGGCGGGCCGTCGTGCGGCGGCAGCTCGAGGCGGTGCCGCGCTTCTTCCACTCGTCGTACGTGGCGGCGGGCTCCGTGGACAGCGCGGCGCGCTCCTCGCTCGCCGCGCAGGCGCTCGGGCTCGCCACGCTCAACGTCGCCGCGTTTGGCGTCCTGCTCGTCGCCGGCACCGCCTGGTCCTTTGACCTGTGCTCCGTCGCTGAGCTGCAGGCGCGCACGCAAATGGTGGTGCAGAGGCGCGGCGCCGGCGGCGTTTTGGCGCCCGAGGAGGAGCGCGAGGTCGACAACATGGTGGCTAGCTTCATGGAGAGGCTGGGCATGGATGTCGAGGAGCTGAGGGAAAAGGATCGCCGCGCGGCTGAGGGCGTCGAGGAAAACGCACAAGGTGTAGAGGACAGAGGAACGGGATAGCATCATTAGGTTTGCGTGGCATGTGTAGATGGGCACGGGCGGGCCAAATGTATAATAATGTATTAGAGTGTACAAAAAAGTTTTCACCCTCCTTTTTTTTCGATAGCCAAGGAGACCAACGATGATATATAAAGCATAATGAAGCGAGAAACCCGAGGATATCCCAAACCCCGTCCTTTGCTCTCGTTGAAAATGCCAGTCCTCGCGTAGAGGGATATTCTAATGATGCCGCAGACCCAAGTGTCTCCACGTCCGCCTCTATATGTCTCTAAGCTGTATGTCTTTGTTTTGTTTTTGTTTTGTTTTTACTTTTTTTTTAATCAACTGTGGCTTGGGATGCCGACGCAGCTTCCTCCTTGGCGCGCTGCTTCCGCCACTCCTGCAGCTCGTCGAGGCTGTGGTCGAGGCTGCCGCGTCGTCCCCAATTCTTGGGCTGCCTCTTGAGGAAGGCGCCGACGGCGCCGAGGTAGCCCTCGTGGCGCAAAAAGTAGGCCTGCTTGGAGCCCTTGCTCCAAAACTTGATGGCGTAGCTGAGGGTATTCATGGTCTGGCGGTGGCCGCGGATAAAGGAGCCGCCAAAGTAAATGTCGGACAGGTTGTGGATCTGCGACTGCAGCAGCGCAATCTGGCCGATGTTGTTGGAGACGGCGTACAGCAGGGAGCGGGCAATGTCGCCGTCGGTGAAGCCCGGGCCGCGGGGGAGGATGGCGGCCTGGCCATTGACCTGGTGGCCGTGGGCGGCGGCGGCCTCCTCGGCGTCCTTTTTCATCTTGAAGACGCGGCCAAAGGACGAGGCAATGGTGGTGCTCTTGAGACCAATCTTGCTGTAGTCCTGGCCGTAAATGTCGCCGACGAGCATGTCCACGTGCGTGTTGTCGCCGCGGCCGGCCTGCTCGAGCATCTCGTCAAAGGTGCGGGCGCCGGTGAGCAGGGAGAGCAGGCCCCAGAGCGTGCCGCCGCCGAGCGAGGTGCCGCCGACGCGCTCAAAGGCGCGCGGGCCGGTGACTTTGAGCATGGACACGCCGGAGCCAATGTTGACGAGCAGGTATGGGTAAATGGCCTCGCGGGGTCCGACAAAGTGCATCGGCTCCGTCTCGGAATAGGTAAAGACTTCGCGGTGGATTTCGGTGATGAAGAAGTCGAGGCCTGGGGGGGCGGGGAGTTAGTACAGGGGGAAGATGGGTAAGAAGCTGTAGAGGGCACGGTTTACCGATGATGAGACACTCCATCTCGTCTTCGCGCGACACGTCGACGCCGAGGGCATCGCGAATCTTGTCGTAAAACTTGTAGGCGCCGCCGCCCGTGGCCATGACGGCGAGGTCGCTCGGGCGGGAGCCGGTCAGCTTGGCCTGGCGGTCGCGCAGATCGCGCATAAACTCGACGCAGTCATCTATGCGATCCGTCTCAAACGTCTGAAAGGTGACGCGGCCGCCGGGGTCAGTCTGGTCGACCTCGCGGGAAAAGTAGACGAGCTTGATGAGGGAGCCTCCAATCTGAGGGAGGAGCGGGGATTGTCAGCCAAAAAAAAAAAGAACCCCAATCCAGAGTCAACAAGGGCAAAAGAAGAAAAAGAAAGACACGACATACATCCACAGCAATGTGACTGACGACGGCTGTATGGTTCGGCAACCGGATATCGCTTGTTTCATGGTGGGTGGTGGGGGAGCCGCGGCCGTTTTTGGGCGTGGCCGTGTCCGGGTCGACGATGAAGGCGCCGGTAACGTTGATGCGCACGCTGCCGGGCTTGGTGATTGTGCTATCAATCTCGGCCGTCGTGGTCATGGTGCGCGAGCGCGAAATGGCCGGGCGCAGCGGTGCGGCAGTGGTGGCCGGGTCGTCGGCAACCGCATCCTGGGTGGTGGTCGAGTCTTGTTCCTCTCGTCCGGGCCGCTCGGCGGGGGGGATCTGGAGGGGAGGAAACGGCGCGGCCGGCGGCGACATGGTGGACGGATGTGTGGGCGGAGGAGTTGGGCGGCGGCGGAATGGTCGACCGCGGTCGCAGGAAGGAAGCAAGTCGTCAACGGAGCAGCATGGGCGTGATTGGTATTGGTCTTGTGCTGGTGGTTGTGGTGGGTGCGAGGGGAGGATAAAGAGGATAAAGAGCACTGCCACACTAAGCTACCATTATACGTGTTAGTAAGCTCAATAGTAGTAAGAATCTACTGCGTGGTTAGTCGGGATTTTTATAGTAGTAAATACAGTAAAATTAAAACAAAAGAATAGTGAAGTCTAAGTTATAATAAATATATTTATTATTATCCTTACTACGCTTATCTATAGGTTTAGCGCGCGCTGTTTACAGAGTACTTACAGGTACCTACCTCGTAATAGGCGACCTACAGGCGGCGCCTTTAACCGCCCCTCCCATTGTGATTGCATTTCATCAACAGCAGCTGCAACAGTACAGTGTTCATTCAACAGCACTGCCCATCCTCGAGCGGCCGTACAGCGAGTAGCGACCCTTCCGGCCGCTACCCCACGTTACATATGCGACCTCCAGCTCCTGGGATTCAGTATCCTTGCAGGTCGTGTAGGATCACCCGCAGTATCACACATCACCAGTGTGCCAGCAAAAGTCATGGCACCCACACAAGTGCGTGGTGATACAAATGTCCATTTATACAGAGGATGCCGGTGGCCCTCTGAACGGTCGCATATACGATAACATCGACGCGGGCAAACTATCGCAGTAGAGCTTTGTGTGAACTGTTGGGCCGCCACCTTCAGCGGAGTAGTTGAATGCTAGAGTATAATAAAGATTTACGGGTGGAAGGCCCAATTATTACAACCATCTTCCTCTCTTGCAGAGGCGGACACTTCTCATCTGGTTCGTATTTCCTCACGTTATATCTCTGTATTGCTCTGACCCCTGGCGCGTTTCCCAGGCTCCTTCTATCGACGCCATCGTCAACGGCCCAATCCGTCATGTCTTCCTCAACTGGATGACTTCGTGGCATGGTGCTCTCAATAGAGTACACTGTTATCTCTTCTGCGTATGTCACCCCATGGCGTTTTGTCGTCGCGTCGTACACTGACTGCCTTGAAACAGAACTGCCACGGGTTATCCCCGTCGCATTCGCATTCAGCGAGGAGGGCCCCAAATTCAAGGTGCAAACAACCGTAAGCCTACCACTAAGCTCACTGCTAGCTGAAACCATGTAGTCACCGGTGACTCAAAGAAACGCCAAGGATTCTGTCAAGCACTCTAGAAGAAGCCATCAGCGGGTTCGTGCACGCACAACAAAGGGGAAGACATGTTAATGCAGCCTGGTCAGCCCGCAAGGTTAGGGCTAGTGACGAATTCTTTATTGCCAGCCTTTATTTAGTCCTACCCACGTCTCCTCAAAGTTCTCACTTCACCCACTCACTCACTCACTCACTTCACCCACTTTCAAAAACCTACCCTCACCATGTACTACGATGACCCTTGGCCCACGATGCCTGATGGCACCGACTTTGACGGGAAGCATCTGCTAAGCCTCGTCCACGCCGGCAAGAGCCCCTTTGAAGGGGCTTGGGATGTCAACCAACTTATCCAAGAGATTGAGAAGAATCTCGGTGCCACGGTGACGGACATACCCTCTGTCTACAAAGGCTCCAACAACTACGTACGTTTTTGACAAACCGTTTCGAGCTCAAGTGGAGGCTAACAGGCGCAAGGGCTTTCATGTCAAGCTGTCAAATGGTCTGGACATTGTGGCGCGCTTGGCACGTGGCGACGTCAACATGCCAGACTATGACGGCTTTCCCATTGATGCGCAGGTTCCCGAGGTCAAATTCGAGGCCGACGTCTACGACCTCTTGCGGTCAGAGCCAAATATCTTGGTCTCCCGGCTGCTCTACCACCGTGTTCCACTACAGCGTGCTGCTCCTAGATGCGACCCCCCCACGGATCTTGCTGGGCGTCGGTTGTTTGTCTTTGAACGAGCACAAGGAGAAAACAATATATGGTACGACCTCAACTTGGAGCAAAAGGCAAGTCTTTTCTGTCCGTAACATACTATTTCATTTTTCTCATCTTCTCTAGGCCCATCTTCTTGCCCAAGCTGCTCGTATCCGCGCATCGCTCTTCAACTTTGCACTCCCACTCGACTTTGCCGCTACGTGGCTCCGCGAACGCCTCTTTGAGCAGAAACCTGAGTCACTCCCCGTTCCCGTGGCACCGACGCGCGCGTTTTGCGTCGCACTTTTCACGGCCAAAGTCGAAGCAACTATCCGGAACTTGGGTGACATGATTGGCTGGGAGTCGGACGAGAATACCGTCGGCCCCGCTGCCATGGCGGCGAAGGAGTCACTCTTACGCTTCATCCCGCATATGATGCCGCCGGCAGACAATGGCGAGGACGCGCTCTATCGTCTCGTTCTGGAGCATGGCGATTTTGGCATCCACAACATGTCGATTACCACAGACAAGGACGGCCAGCCCCTGGTCACGTCCTTGTACGACTGGGAGACGGGCTGTGTTGTGCCCGCCATCCTGTCCGATCCGCTGATGGCGGTGGAGATTGACCTTATGGCTGGTGAGGATGCTGGCCCGTCGCTGACGCGCGTGTCAAGCTCCTCAGAGCCCAGCACACGCGTGCAGTACATGGAATACTCGAAGCAGTATTTCGAGGTGCGTCCCTTTTTGACCCAGTACACAGGCCTAGTGCGCCAAAAAAAGCTTGGGTATTAACCGTCTTTGTTACAGGCACTCTTCAGTCACGCGCCCGACTACAAGCGTGCAATCCAGGCAGGGAAAGACGCACGCCACCTCTGGTTCGCGTTGCGGGATTGGCGCGGCGCAGATCCGGAGAACTACTTTGGTGATTTGGGAAGCTGGGCTGAGTTGCGAATGAAGGAGCTCGGCGTGTCAGACATCTGAACACTTTAAGCATAGGTTCCCCGTTGAGCTTGTGTTTGACAGACTATATATTCAAGTCCATATGAGTTGACTAGCCGGGGGGCGCAGCTGTAGTGCATGTTGTCTCGACTTGATGCCTCGACATGCCGTTCTTTTTCCACCCAGGCCCAAGATGTAAACGTGCACACTGCCAACGAGCCCGCTGGCGGTACGACAAGGCGGCAAATAGTAGTCGACCAGAACCTGCTGGAATATGTATGGATACGCTCATCACGTAGTAATACAAAATTATATTATTTCATGTCCTTGGCAGTACAATGTTTCAACAGTTGGCCTCCTTAGCCGGCGCGCTAGGCTGGTCACCAGGCGGACATTTCTCCCTCAGCAAGCGATCAAGCTGCTGCAAGGCTCGGCTCTGATCTTTCAACAAAGCGCTTTGATACTGTATGACGAATCCCGCACTCGCCTCAAATGTTTCCACAAATGTTCTCGGAACCAAGGCGCGGTACAGAAACATCTCTGTCTTGCCGATGCAAATGACCCTCACCCACGCACTCGACTGGTTCGGTGTATTACCGCTCCTTAACATCTCCTGCGCCATCGCTACCATAATCAATGCAACTTGCGCGTCCTCTTCTATTTTCCTGGGCTTAATGCGCCGTTTCTCCTCCGCGATACGTCCTGTGGTTTCCTTCTCCTCTCCTTTAGCTTTTTGTAGAAGAGCTATGATGTGCATCTCCTTCCTGTTGTGCAGCTCCGCAAAATCGGTATATGCTATTAGTGCATCTGCGTCTGAGTCTTGGAACACGCCATCTGTAGCCACCATTGACGTGGCGTGTCCGTATCGCAGTTGAAGCTTGCGCCCTTGCCCTCGCCTCCATGGCCGCACTTCGTACGGCTCAAGCAGCGCCTTCATTGCGTACAACTTAGCAATGCCGTAGCGCCTCAACTTTTTCGCAGTGCTCAGCTGCGCGGCCTGGTATTGAGATGCTGCCTCACTTTCATTCTCCGTCCGCTCGAAGCTTATGCCAAATATGTCCTTGTCCATGTCGCTGCAGTATGGCGACGAGGAAAATGGTGCGCCCCAAAGGCGTTCACCGCACGTGAGTGGCCTGGTGGCGCTTCGCCCGTCGCAAGGCGCATGTTTTCTTCGGTTCGAAGCTCTGTCGTCTGCGGGATTGCGATGGCGCGTCCGCTTCGGTCCTCCCCTTTCGTACACCTGTAGTAGCTGACCCGGAAGAGCCATGACGAGTTCTTCTCCGAGTCCTCGGTCGTTATCGTCCACAGGTCTCCTTGGGTGACGCTCGTGCTGACGTCTGTCGATGTTGATGTTGATGTGAAGGGTTGGTGTTGATCGCGTCCACCCGATTCTTCGCAGGTACCCCACGTGACAGCGCGCGTATATTGGACATGCCCCTACTGTCAACTCTCCATGTTTGAGGTATAAAGCCCTGCGACTTTGTCATACTCAGCCCATGGCATTGGGTGTGTGGCATGAACCTTTAGGTCCATGCTTACATCTCGCGGCGTGCCATGGTGGGATCAGATTGATCTTTTGTCATCATTCTAGTTCATTGATTGATTATTTTCAAGCTTCAAACAAAAAAAGTGCCACAACTGTGCGCTCCAAAACCGGCAGATCAACGACCAGGCACATCTCAACCCGTTGGCGTCGGCTCATCAAGGACAAGGAGAGGCAAGCAACAATAAGATAAGAGTGCAAGGAGAAAAATTGAGGCAAATTGTATTAGAGAAGGGTCAACACTCGTCCGAACCATTACGCAAATGTACATCGTGCAAGACAACGGCCACCAGGGACAAACATCTTCAAAACGTCTTGCATTTGGTAGCATCGCCGCAAGGCTAGGTCAGGCCTGATTTTGACCAACACTCTATAGTTGTCCGTAAGCCTACTCATACATCTATTTTCCATGGCCCTCCGCCCGCTATTTGTTTTTCCCTTGTTACAGGCAACTGACAGCGCACAGAGAACCCGCCTGGCCTCCCCATTGTCGTCTACCCCCAAAAGACACACAAGGCAAGAACCTGACAACACATAGCTAGCTGCATCAAGACTCAGCAGAGAAAATCTGCCTTCTTCCCGGCCGCATCCTGCTACGCCATCACACCAGGCTCCAGTATCAAGATCAAGATCCAGAAGCGTGTGGTGTGTATTCCTTGCCTAACCTCGTAAGCGCCGCTTAAACGATTGCTCGCCTCCACGACGCGCTATACGGTGCCCAGTACTTTAAACTGCGTTTAGAAAAGCAGTGCCAACATGTCTAGTCTTTTTCCCCAAGCTGCCCTGTAATGATACACGCCGATATTTAAACATCGGGAAAATTGGAGAACCGCCCCCGCCATCCAAGCACATAGAAAAAAGTCATTGAAACCCATTCACAAGATGATTCGTCATGGCATTATTCGTCCACAACTGCTCAGTAAAAGGTTGATGATGTTCAACTAGCATTCCTGAACTACCAAGGTCCGTGGTCGACTCGACGATGCGCCCGCCCATCATCATGAGTGGCGAGCGATTCGGAGAATAGGCGACGGTTTCCCAGCCGCTCGACCGACTTGGCTCATAACTGGTTTCTTCATATTCCGCAAACGTACCAAATTCGCCATCCACCGGCGAGCTGTCCATCACCTGGTCCATCTGGCTGTCCGCACCATCCGCGGCTGTCGCATCTGCTAGGTCGGGCTCATCTTCAAAGTGGTCTTTCACCTTGTCCAGCATATGTGTCATCAACATCTGCAGGTCTTCATCTGCAAGACTCCGGCCCGTTTTCGGCTTCGGAATGCTCGGGAGGATGCGCTGGCCTTCGTTTTTCCAAAAGTCGTTGAGCATGCTGAGCATCTCGGTGACTACGCTCCCGACGTAGGCATTGGGCGGTGCTGCTTCCCCTGGGAACACAAGGTCCCATATTCCATACCACTGTTCAACCGCGCTGAGTTTGCGGGCAAAGCGGTTCTTGAGAGAGTCCTGGACCTGGGCCGAGATTCCATCACTACTGCGTTTGGAAGATGCCGTTACTGGTCTGCAGGAAGCCTGTCGTATGTGGTCATCCCTCGGATCCGGAGAAACAAAGACCTTGGCGCAAGTTGGGCAGTAAAAGGGCGGCTTTGAGTGCCGTCGGTATATGTGTTGCTTGACATCCTGAATGCGCGTAAGTTTGCGACTCATGCATTCAATATGCCGGGTTGGCCATCTCCTGTAAAAGGGGCAGGCAAAAGTAAACTCCTTTCCTGCATTTTTTGGTCTGTGACGACTGTCTTCATCCTCCGAGCTTAGCAGCTCATCGTTAGACACGACTTCCTCTTTAGCAGGGGGCGAGTGCCTGCGAGCGTGGACATCCATCGAAGCCTTGATATTGGCTGCCGACGGAGTCAAGGCAATAGAATGTCTTCGTGACGAACATCCACGAACGGATTTCCGTAATTTCTTCACGCCCGCATCAGGGGGAGGGGACACGAGGCCAACAATCGACCGGCTGCGGGAGGCATGATCTGAGTCTCCTTTCAATGGGCTTTTGGAGCGCTTTTCAACAGGAAATGAGGCGCAAGCATTCCTCCTGAGTGAATCCGCACTCAAATCCGAGTCCGTTCGGTGTAGGCCTGCGTGGAGGTCGGGGATCAGGTCTACACTGGCCGTGTCCGAGGAGAGGGTAGTCCAAGGACCAGCCTGCTGGCACATGGCAAAGGAATCGCTGGGATCTGCAGGCAAGATTGGTGGATATGCTGCATAGTATGGGATAGACGGATCCGAGATGAGAGACGATGGTGCACTGAGAGCGGTGGGCACGCTTTCAAGAGACTGAACATGTTGGAGGGTGAATTGGTTGACGGGTAGCAGCGGTGCTGGCCAGATGTAATTCTGGGGTGAGAAAGCGGGTAGATCGTTTTCGTGGTACGAGGTTTGGCGGGAAGGATTGCGAGAGTCTATAAAATCCGACTCTTGGGCTCCGTCGATTGGCGAAGACGCGATTGTAGACGACATGGATGTGGCGGGGATGGCAGCCGGGAGGGGCCGAGGGTGAGCAGGTGATAGTGTTGGTTTTTAACGCGAAGTTTTCTCCTTTTCCTTTACCGCAAACAAGCAAGTTTTGCGTCGGCTTCTTAGCCGAAGACGATGGGATATGTTGAAAGAAAACCTGACGTGACTTTTTCCCAGTGTTTTGCAGATAATAAGGCGGGCTGCGCGGCTAGTCAGAAACGGCCCACTCATCATGTAAATCACCACATTTGTGACGGGAGTTTTTTGTGTGGCGGGCAGGGCCATGTTTGGACTTGGAGAGGGGGCGTTGGAAGGATGCCTTTTGACTGGTTCGGTGATTTTTATTAGCGCATCATGACCTACTAGTCACATCAAGAGAAGGCGACTGCGACCCATGGCGATTCTGTGACAGGGTCTGGTTGGCGCTTGGCATTGGAGTAGCTCCGACGAGGTGTCGCTAGGGAGGTTGCTATTCGACGAGATGCGAATGTGGTGAAAAAATATATTCTAGTCGTGATGATGAAGGCATTTCGCTTCTGGGAGGGCTGGTGTTTTGATGAAGAGAAGTTTTAGCACAACCACGACGTCGACGGGGTAGGTTGCCGCTGTTTGTCGACATGGTCAGTGGGTAGGTAGGGTAGGTTGGTACCTGGTACAGCTCCCAGTGAGAGCAAACCACTGCACAACGATCGGGCATTTCTTCTCGGAAGTTCCCGTACGACGCGCTAATAAATATATTTTGACTACTGGGTATAATAGAGACTATTTTATTCACAATCATTATTAGCACAGCTTCCTCACTTCCTACACATATCTAGATGCCCCGGCCCGGTTGCAGTGCCCACCCAGTTTTGGTATAGTGCGGAGAGAAAATGGCACTGTACGGCTCGTGTGCTTACCACTACGGCGGTAGGCTAGCTGATGTGACGTTGGGGCCTAGAGATTGGCTGCCGGGAGGCCCATAAGTAGCCGCTTGCCATGCCTAGATGCACAGCTAACAAGGTACGCGCGATGGCCACCTCCACACCGTTGCGATCAAGGTACCTTGCTCGCGTACGGGCCACAGTATGATGTCATGCAGGAAACACTGTACCTACGTCAGTCCCAGAAACAAGAAATGCTAACGAACGGACGGCCGCCCGTTTGCAGTCCATTGTCGGGCGGGTAATGAGCAAAATTGGCGGGACACCTAATTGAATAGTACTAACTAGAAAGAGAAGGCAAATATGTAAATACAAGATGAGAAAAAAAAACTCCAACAAGACCGATGAAGATGATGGCAACAACTTGAATACGAGGCAAGTAGCTACCCAGCGCCAGCGCCCCATGTGCACCGACCAAGCGCCCTGAAACGACGCTTCCGTTCCGTTACCCGTTTGGGCTCGTCTAACAAGTCAGACTTGTCCCGTCCATCAACAAATACCGCAGGACAGAACCATCCATCGCATGGCCGATCGTGGGCCTCGAATGCGACTCGCACAATCCCATCTCCCCCTTTCTCTGGCAAATCTTGGCTTGGCAGTGCAACCATCCAAGGCAAGTTGCCACCCTCGCACTGCAACGATCGACACGGCGGACGCCTCAGCGGAGTCCCATCCACCAACGCCAGGTCATTCCCCTACAAAGATTTTGATGCAAATGCATGCAATAGATACGCTATGCAGGGGCTGGTGACGCGTATTGGGCCGAATTTGACAATTTTTGCAAACCACCTTGCACTACTCTGTACTATCTGGTACCAGCACAGCTACGCACGGCCAGCGACAAACGGCCCGCGAAATCACAGCTAGGTAGGCGTCAAACTCGTCCTCGGCCTTCCGATGTTGCCGACCCGCCATGAGGGCGTCCATCCATCCTAGTGGCTTCTCGTGTGTACGTGGCCTCGGTGGCCCATGCCACCTGGTCGCCTCGTCTCGTCGCCTCGTCGCCTCGCCGGTTGCCTTACAGGGCGTTTTCGTCGGTGTGGCGACCAAGTGTGACCAAGGTTCCCGGCAGTTCTTCCAACGGTCAGTTCCCGACCGGACCCGTCTTCAAAAACGGACTATGCGAGCGCGAGTCTGGATTCCGTCAGAAGCTGACTGCGAGGGCAGAAAAACAGGGTTTTCGCACTCCAGTTGCGCCGTTTTCCGCGAGAGAAGATGAGCGTCACTATTGGAAACAGGGACCAAGTCGGGGGGGGCTAGTTGCGGCAACCTCGCAGACTTTCCGGGCGTAGCCGCAGTCAGGCTGAATCTGGCTGGCAACGTTCGTTACTGGCCCAGGTCCAGCTCCAACTCCAGCTCCCCAACCCATCACAATACCGACAGGCGGACGGGCAGTTCGTGGCCTTGTGCTTCTGCATGGCTACCACGGCCCAGGCTCGCGGGACAATGAACCGGCACGTCATGCAAAGCAGAGATAACTCGTCGCCCACAAGACTGGTCTCGGGTTCCAACATGCCGACAATGACAATTAACCTAATTATTAAACAGCAACCCGTCATTTTCTACAGTGGCTTATCGAGTTGTAGCGCCCCCCGCTGGCAATGGCCACTCGCGAGTCGGACCCGCCAAAGAAGCCAATTGCAAGTCCCCCCCACCCTCTTATTTTCACAGCATCACTTCCAACTAACCTAGCTATCAAAGTGTAGAAAGCCTCCAACAAATGTGCAGTTTTCCAAATGCGGGGTTATATTTCACTCGAGACCCCAATCATCTCTTGAACCGGCCAATGTTTCGTCATCTCATGTGGCTAACCCTCTTCTCAAAACTAATACAGTAGCCAATCCTCTGCCGTTGTAACTTGCTTGCTTCAAGTATACCCAACCCGATCATACTGATATCCGCGCGCGAAAGCTTCGAATCTCGTCCACCACTCATTACATCCACATCCCTTCCATTCATCTCCTTCATCCCCGTACCAAGTAACCCCAGGAATGAAGCAGTCATCATGAAGTTTTGGGGTGACTTGTATTGGCGTTCCACACACTCCTTCGCCTATCAGGCGACCCTTCTCCTTCTCAATCTCCTTGTCACCCTGTTCCACGACATCCTGCGCTACTTCAGGTACCACAGGAACCAGCTTCTCTTCAACGATTCCGTTTTTGACGCCTTTTTCATTGCTTCCGCTCTTCTTGACAAGAACAAGGACTTCCAACCCCGTGTTTCTGCCCGCAAACACGCAGCCAAGCAACTTGTCGGTCCCCAGGAGCCTACCGTCAAAGAACCAGCCGCTAGAAAGCAGTCCATGCCCGTGACCGCCGCCATCCTTGACGATAACTTCGATCTCGTCGCTGTCTTTGCCATCATTGCTGAAAGAGCCAAGCAGTTTGGCATCGACACTGGCCTCTCAGGACTCGACGCCCCACAGTGCCCGTCATTCTTCTACCAACAGCCCCGGTCCTCTGTCGCCCCGATCCTGTCCAAATATATCAACCAAGCACAGCAATGCCATTCGCCCGCTGCCCTCAAATACCGGCGCGGCCAGAACAAGCCCGTCTCCAAAACCAAGAACAGCCGCATCCTCAAGGATCTACACGACAAGCTCAACGGGCTGTCGCCATCCAGAGGCGTGCCACACGAGCCACTCACCTTCAAGTACCTCCTTCCCTTCAACGGGGGGTTTGTTCTGATCGCCCACTCTAAGTCTGGCTTCTCATTCTGGGTCTATGCCCCCACCACCCCGGGTCAAAGTGGTACTCCTGGTGCTGGTGCCGGTGCCGGTCGCGGCAAGGGCAGCCGCGTTGGGCGACGCACTGGCGCCGGCCCTCGAGGCCTTCGTGGCCGCCCTAGCCGTGGTGGTGGCAGCGTTGGCAAAGGCATTGGTCTCGGCAATGGCGGAGAGGATGAGGGCGATATGAGCGACGAAAAGAGCAATCCTGACAAGGACAACCGCGACGCTGAAGACGGTCCGCCCAACTCCACCTACTACGCCTGTCCCTTCTACAAGTTCGATCCAAGCAAGCACTTTCGCTGCTATCGGAAGTATGAATTGAGAAGGTACTCCGATGTCAAGCAGCATATCCTGCGGTGCCATTCACTTGGAAACCTTTACTGCTCAAATTGCTGGACGACCTGGAAGGATGGTCAAGATGTGCAGTGGGAGGCTCACTCAGCGATGTGCTATCTGCGCGTGCCTGAGCCAGAGCCTCTGCGCCCTAGGGAAGCGGCGGCACTCAATGAGCTTAATTTCGGCCACATCAATGATGCCGAAAAGTGGTACATGATGTGGGATCTTCTGTTTTTCAACCATCCCCGCCCTGACTCCCCTTTCATGGACCCCGGCCTGGGCGAATTTCTTTGGCTTCTCACAATAGCTGGAGAGGAGCTGATGCGGCACTTTCCTTCAATGACTTTGCCTATACAGGCTAATGTCGTCAACCGACCGCAGGCATTACACAGTCTCGTTGAACAGATCCATGCCATCTATAGCTTTCCTTTTACTTCGGACCCAACTCGAGCGCCGAGATATAGGCGGCAGCATGCCATCGATCAACAACAACAACAATTACAAGCCCAGGAACAAGCTCGACAGGAGCAACAAAACAGACAGGCGCAACAAGCTCAACAGGCCCAACAGGCCCAACAGGCTCAACAGGCTCAACAGGAGGCGCATCAGGCTCAACAGGCCCACCAAGATGTCGATCCAGGTCTCCTTGAGCATATCCCTGCGTATGATATCATGGAAGAGGACCTCGATCAATTCCTTGATTTCGAGGCTGTTCTTGACGCGCATAATAATGGCAGCTTTATGCCTGGTCCTCCTCAACCCCCAGCGCCGCCGGCACCGCACGGATTTTAATGTCGTCTGGTTGGCTGGCTACTGGTGCACTGGCTGTTGATTCACCGGCTGGTTGTTCGGCTGGTTGTTCGGCTGGTTGTTGAGGTACTGGCTGCTGAATCAGCAGCAAGGTATTGATCTGGCTGCATCTTTCTGTCGATTTTTGAGTTGTAAAGGAGTGGTGCTGCCGTCAGGTTCCTGTTACTGTCGTGTGCAGTGTGATTTGGCATGGTCCATGATCAGATCATTCGGGATCAAGGACGACAGATCTCGGACGGTGTTTGAGTATAATCGGTTCGTCTCTGGAGCTAATACCATTCGTTGCGAGTGCAAGAGGAGATGCCGCTATGAGCTCACGCAGTTTGGAATAGCATTGTTTTGGGTTAGAGAAAAGGGCGCCTTGTTTGGTTTGAGTTCGAACGAGTTTCTTGTTTTGTTTTTCTGAATTCATATGTTCTTGAGGCACCGAGAAGGGATGAGGAGGTCAGGAAGCAATGAAGCTGTCATGATGATGCGGAAAATGACAGACAGATTTAGCGAAACGGGCGCAGACGAGGAGGCAAACTCCGTGGGTCACGTGACCCAATAGCATGTTGTGCTATTATGATACTAACACTCCTAGTTACACCACTTCCCTTTGTTTTCGTACTTATTCTACTATACGTCCTTCTTTCTTCCTATCTTTCCTCTGTCGTCAGTTTCTTGCCCGGGTAACAAGGTCGCCAAATTCATGATCCACGCAGCACTTTTCGAGACATTATACGATAACTACGCACCCGTCCCTCACTTTGATCAATTTGTTTGCTGTATTGCCTTTTATCTTTCTTGTTTTTTTAGGGAGATGTCTTATGATAGTTACATTGCCATTTTTCATCTATTTACTAAATATCAATCAGTACAATTAACCGGTTTTCCTTGCGATAAACGAGAGTGACGCCCGTAAAGTGGACGTCTACCAAAGGTATATTAATCTGCCATAGAGCCGCGAAAAAAAAACAAATAGTTTGAATGCTTCGTTTTCGGAAGTAGACGATAAGAATGAAGAAGAAGCAGGTGGTTGCCTAGTAAAATACCACTGTACAAAAATGCCGGCAACGGAACAACTTCATGACAAGATGGGGTGAGATAAGAACAACGAAAAAAAGTGGAATAGGGGAAGAAAAGGGGGAGAGAAGAAGAAGAAAAGGGAACAAAGAGAAGCAGTTAGGTCTGCGGTCCAGTCCGACCGTACTCGTGGTAGATCTTGGCGATGAGCCTCAACAGAGTCGCTGAGTAGAGCGCATCGAGATCATCCTCAGTGGGGGCGTTGTCGGCACTCAGCGTCTTCAAGTCGAAGCCGGCGGCCGTGAAGCCGTCAGCGATGCATTCATCGCCGTGCTCGACCCAAAAGTCGTGCAGCTTGGAGACGGCGAGGCGGTTGCCGCTGCGCAGGTACGGGTCAACGCAGCGCTTGTTGTTGCGCAAGTACCAGTCAGCGCAGCCAACGGGCAGGTCATGCCCGAAAATGGCCACAAAGATGCGTCCCCAGCGCTCGGCCTCGTCCTCGTCGCAGCTCCGGACGCGGCCGTGGACCACGCGGTCGTTGAGCTCCATCTCGTCGACGCGCAGCCGGGAGACGCCCTTGCGGGCGACGATGGTGTGCAGCGCAGAGGGACCGGCGATGGGGCACGCTCGGAGCTGGGCGTGCGCGTCACGCTTGTCGAAGTCGTCAAAGACGCAGTGGCAGCGCGCGCAGACCGGCCGATCCAGTGCACGTCGCTCGTGCACGTCGCGGAGGTGCTGGAACACGTCGGGGATGCTGTTGAGGTCATGGCCGTCGAGGACACAGCTGCTGTGCATCTCAGGGTCCACGACGTAAAACGGGCACGAAAGGTGATAGTAGCCACGCGGGGAGGTTGTCGTCTCGTGGGGCACTGCGTACCGCTGCGCCTTGCCGTCGCGCGCCGCGGGCGTGACGCAGTTTGTCGGCAGCTCCTCGTACGGGGCCAGGTCGACCCGCACGAGGACTCGCTCCAGAGAGATTTGGAAGATCTGGTCCCGGATGGACGGCTGCATGATGAGCTCCGTGGTCTCGCCGCCGTGGTCCCCTTCGGCGGTGAGGGTCGTGGTGCTGCGGGTCTCGGTGGCCATGGTGTCGGCGTCGTCGTCTCCCTCGCTGCCGGACGCTCTCGCCAGAAAGAAGTTGTGGTGGTCGTTGCTGTCTGGGCCGTGGTCGTCGCCCCAGTCTGACTCGGTGACGCTGGCGCTGGCGCTGGCGCTGTGGGACGTCAGACTTCCTGGGTCGCTATCGGCAGAGAAGAGGGCGTCGTCCTCAATACCGGCGTCAGAGTAGATATCGTCGTCGTGGGTTTGGTGCGCGGCGGGTTGGTGTTTGTTCTTGTGCTTGTCCAAGTGCAAGTTGGGGTGCTGATGTTGCTCTTCTTGGGATCCCATCCAGGAGCCGGTCATGGCTATATTTATGTAGCTGCCTTCCGAGTGATTCGAGGGTGGCGTGTGACTTGTTTGGGGTGACAGCACTAGCATGGCCTCATCTTCGTCTAACCTCATGTCCTTGTCCTGGTCGAGACGCTGCTGCCTAAGCCCCTGTGCGCTGCCTGGTGCCACGCGAGGCACCAGGCTGCCCCCTCGCCAGGCATCCTCGTAGCAGCCCTGATGCCCTGCCACGTCAATGTGATACGGCAGCCTGTTAAATAGGCTCCGCAGTGACACAGCATCACACGGGTCCACGTCGCGCATGACGTCAATCGAGCGCCAGCTCGGCAGCGCCAGCGCCGACACGCGCGACGCGCACGTCACGCGCACATAGACGCCGTTCCACTCGCGGAAGCAAACGGCCACGCTGCTGCCTGTGCCCACATCCTGCCGCTTCTGCCCAATCGACAGCAACACGTACCCGGGCCCTTGGCGGGCGCGGGACTCGATCTCGATGCCCTTGTTGCTGAACCGAATCTTGCCGTTGAATACCCACGGCCGCTGCAGCGGTAATTCCTCCTTGGCCTTGGCCGGTGCCGGCGCAAAGTGCCCAAACTCGGCCGGTGACCGCGCCAACAGGCCTCGGACATCGCCCTCACGTGCGCTCCGCCACGCCAGCAGGGAGCCGTCGCGCGTGTCGCGCAGCAGCTCCTCCTGCAGGCGCAGAAAAGCGCGGGTGGCCCCCTCACCGTAGCGCACGGGCAGCGTGGCCTCTGTGAGGGCAACAAGGGCGTACGCCGTGTCCTCGTCGCGGGCGGCGGCGCGGCGCGCGGACCAGGCGAAGCGCATGGCGAGGGCGACGTCAGAGAGTGCGGTGCTGTCGAGTAGTACGCGGCGCGGGATGCCAGTGATGCGGGCGACCAGCGGCGCGAGGACTGGCGAGTCCTTGTCGCCGCGGTAGTTCCACTGGCGGTCGTAGAAGCGGACGCGCGGGGCGAGGACGAGCTCCTGAAGGGTCCAGGCGCGCTGCCAGTACCGGCAGCGTGCCCACGCCGCCGCGGAGGAGGAGGATAGATCGTCATCGTCGCGGTCGTTGGCCGTCGTCGTCACGTCGAGGTCGTGCAGGAAGGCGAGGCAGACGGCGGCGTTGCAAAGGCGCCGCCGGGATCCGTTGACGGCGTCGTCGAGGTCGGCCGTGGACGTCTTATCGATGCACAGGTCGGCGATCCAGATGTAGTCGAGGCCGCTCCGGCACGCATGCTCGCAGGCCTGCTCCAACTTGTCGACGGGGAAGAGGAGCGCGGCAGGCGGGGCACGGTGGCCCAAGGTGTAAGATGTGTAAGGGGGTGCGGAGGAGACCGGGTATGGCGAATAGTGTGGCGGGGTATTGGTAGTATCAGCAGAACCAACAGACGGCTTTTGGTCAGCCGCGTCGCGCGTATGCGAGAGAACGGCGTAGGGGGGAAGCGCGCCATCGGGCAGGTCGACGACGGTGCGAGAGTGTGCATGGACCAGCTTCATGATCACCCTGTATGGTGCTGGAGGACGTGGCGAGAGAAACGGAGAGAGACTTGCAAGCAAGGCAAGAGGAAAGAATTATTAAGATGTTATAATACATGACCTCGCAATGGACTCTTCAACCATTGCATCAAGAAACCAAGACCTCTTCTGAGAAGATTCAAAGAGGGGGGGGGTTCGAAAAGTGAGGCATGGAAGTCGTCGCTGCCCAACTATATATACACCTTTGAGGAAAAGATCGAGGGCGACAACAAATGTGACGGGGGTGGGAGGGAGGGGCGTGTGTGTCGGGTCGTCATGTCATGATGAGGCAGTAGAAGGGTTGAAGCCGGGGGCATTGCCTGGTCTGCCGAGAGCCTGAGCCTCTTCAACTTTGGCAAAGGCAGCCGCACTTGTTCAAGTTGCGTTCCATAATAAAAGGGAACGTGTTGAAAGCAGAAAAGCGGAAAAGTAAATTCGTTTAGGGCGGGACGACCAAGGTAGGGGTGGTGTCCTCCATCTTGGACAAGCCTCAGCCTTGCGCTCACAGTCGCAGCCTCGCATGCCAGTTCCGTGCTGCCTTGAACTTTGGCTCCACAACAAGTTGGTTTGCCCAGGCTGCGCCGATTCTGGTATAAGTCGACCTTGGAATCCGATTAAACGCGGGCGGCTGATGCAGATTCGATCGCTGCGAATTTTGAGATTTTCCAAAATATTTAATTCCCAAGGAGCAATGTCGAGTCTTTCCCAGCATGTTGCAACACTTCAGTAAGTTGATTGCTTCTTCTCCAGTCCCTACCCCCCTTGTTGCCAGTCATGGTCACCCGCAGTGACACCCCAAGACGGGACTGATTTGGCTTGGTCCAGCGGCTTGCCAAATGTCATTTTGCACTGCCTCAATTGCGGGGTAACATGATGAAGAAGCATGAAGCGATATCATGTATGTATCACTTCAGACCCTTTTTTTTGGCCCTGCTGCCAGGTTAGAGCAAAGATGCCAGGCCAGCCTAGTCGGTGTGCGGAGAGCTGAAACAGGAGAGCCCGCTCGAATAGTTAACATCGGCCAAGCGAAGCTTGCATTCTCAGGCACCGGTCAAACCAAAATGTCAAAGCTACAGGAAAACACGCAAATCAGTCGTGTCGTCGGGTGATGGAGCCAGCCAGTGACTGAGTGTGGGCAGCGCGTGCGCCGTTCTCGCACAGCTGTGTCGGAGTTGGCCGATGCCCCTGCCACCTTGGGGTTTCGCAGAAAACTCGGGGTCAACAGGCCACCACGATTGTGACGGGGTGCGGGGTTGGGCGAGTTACTGCGAGTTGTCTGCTGTTTTCTCGCAATAACTAGAGGTGCGGGCAAGTGCTGGTAGTTATCAAGACGTCGACTGCACAATTGTGGTGAGGCTGCTCCACACCACCACTCTGGCCGCGCCTGTTCAAGGGATCGCCAGCCATTGGTCTAGATGCTGCAGCAGGGACGCGTTTGGGGGCCGAAACGGAAAGATGGCTTGTTCTGTTCCCAACATGCCCTTGTCAGGGCGCGTGAGTTGGCCTCCAGACTGAGCCTGGCGCAAATCGGCGGTCTGCAAGGGCAAGCCGATGGGCCGCGCCTGCGAGGCGAACTCGCTTTCTGTCTTCGGTATGGATCGATTCGAAAATCTGCCTTGGATAAAATTAGGTCCTCAAAGGGTGACTGATGAGGGACGGTCGAGTTTGCTTCTTGTTGCCCATGCATGATGCATGTGCAAAGTTGTGCCAGTGCCACGGGCCACGAACAACCTGGCGCCCCGCCCACCCTTTTTCCCGCCTTTTTTCCACATCCACTCCCATATTACCGTATTTCCGTTCCGAACTCCTACACTGCAAGGGTTCGTCTGCCAATGTTGGTACCTTTTCTGCTTCGCTGCAGCGAGTTACATTCCTTGCAAGACCTACATCGTGTGAGGCTTCACATGCAATACTCACATCATCATCGGCATCCTCACAACTCCCATGTCCCCTCCTTCGTATGGTCCATCTTGATACTCGGGGCCGTCTTCTAAGCACTTGACCGCATTGAGTAGGCGTACGCCTTTTCGGCTGGACTGCCTCGCTTGTCCTTTTTTTTCCTTCTGGTATTGAAGCCCTCGCGGCAAGGCCCTCTCTCTGGACCGGGCCAGACCGCGGGTCGGTCGACGTGGCACATCCCCCCTCCCCCCCCGGTCTCACAAGTGTGTCCTTGGAACACAGGCATCCCCCATGACGCTCCGTGCGGGGATCAAAGCCTCAGCGATACGCCTCTGTTGTGGCTGATTTGTGTTTAAATGCTCCGCATGCACGTTGCGACATCATGAGGCTCATCCCTCCCATGATTGGCGCTGGGACCGAGCTGAATGGAGCTGACTGTCTGCCGACACACTTTTTTCACTTTTCAACGACCCGAGTTCGTTGTTGTCAATCAAGGCACATGATACAAATTGTTGCTGCAGCATTTCTGATTCTCTTTTCCTGCTCCCTTCACACATGGCTATGGATATATGTGCCTGGCGCAGCCGAATCCACGCCCGCCACAAACGTCGTCGATGACGCTCTCCTCCCAATACAGCCTTGGCTGCCTACCGCGGGTGGCTCGGATCATACGCAGCCTGCGTTACGTTTACGCCTGGTGATGTGGTCAGCTGCCGCTCCCTTGCCAATCGGTGAGCATGACATTGGTGAAGCAAAGACTTACACATTTCTATAAGTCGCCGAAAAGGAAGACGCGCAAGTCGTTAGTGGAATGACACCCAAACTAGAGATATTTATCGTTGGCCTCTAGGGATCAAACTTACGCCGATGCTCTGTTGAAACCAAGCTGTCAGTACTCTGTGTTGTTCACCTGGGACACCTTGGGAAACACTCACAACGGTGGCAGAGATGCCGCTGAAGTTGACGGGGCCGGAGCAGGTCGTCTTGCAGGTGCACTTGGGGTACGTGATGGACTGGCCGAGGGCCACGACGGTTCCGCAAGGGGAGCCCGAGGCGGTGGGGCACTCGGCGCGGATGGACAGGGCGCCGGCGCCGGAAATGATGGCGAGCATGGTGGCAGCACGCATGTTGGCGGTTGTGATTTGTGGTTTGTGACTTGGTTGGTGAGTAGTAAGTTGTTGATGAAAGAAGACGATGATGACAGAGATGATGATGATCCAAGCTCAAGTACAGACGGGACACGATGGTCTTTTATAGTCGACGGCCGCTCTCTCGAAGCCTTTCCATCGTATGGTCCCTCGGCTTTTCCCCCATCTCCCCGTCGCATCCGCAGCTTCGGCAACCCTTGGCAGAGGCTACTTCTGCATCGTCTCGTCCTCTACCTCGAACCATGTGGCTGTCAAGTGGTGTTGAGACAGGCTGGCACTGGGCTTCTGAACGAGGCCGGGTCAAGACGGTCAGCTTTGATAGGGCCGGGGATGGAGGTTGCAACGGTAACTATGCGCATGTAGTGTCTACCCGGACCCATGGCCAGTAACACCCCCGCTGGCCGAGGATAGCACGATGCAACTATCCAGAGATTTGTCGGCGTTCGTCGCATGCATCATGTACGTCTTGAAGTGGAAAGCCAAATGCCGACAGTCCGGCGCAACTAGGTCTGCGACGTAGAATGGACAGCGTCTCCGTGTAAGAGCCAAATGACTACCAATGAGCCACTCTGGTGAGCGTGATGGGACACGACGTCGTGTTCTTGTGTGTTTTCTTGGTCCAGTTGTCGATTCAATTGGTTCAGACTCTTTCTTCGCTCAGGGCAATTCGAGCTCTTGCAGTCACTGCCGCGAGCCCGTTACGATCTCCTATACATGCACATGGAACCCCTTCGGTTCCCAGAGGGGAAGCTGTCAGGGACCCTACCAAGAGGCGTGCAACTGCACAGTCCAAAGCGCGGCCACGATCTGCAGATGATAGACGGAATGCAGGGCGACCGTACGACTAGCTGAACACGCACGGCACGGGTAATCTACAGGTGCCGGCCTGGTCTGTCCCGTGCCGTTGTTGATTCGCCTGCGTATCCCGGCGCGATGTTTTGCCAAGTTCCATTGAGCTTGTAAGCCATGCCAAGTGTTTTCCCATCTATTTCAGAACGAGGCTCATCCACTGTATATCACAAGCGGCGGGGGTTTGTCTGCATTTCGGCCCCCTAGCCAGGCCACGAGAGCCTCTAACTTGCATGCATCGAAAGCGGCCACATGAGACTCTGCAGAAGCATCTCTTGGTTGCATCGACTACCACCTGCCCAAAAAGACATGTCGGTGTGGAGAAGGGCCACGGAGCTGACACGACGCCGCGCGGGGAGCTAATCAAACGCGGGGGTCCAAGCAGCATTCGTTATGGACGAGAGGAAACGGCACATTTGACGACTTGGGAATAGAATGAGGGCATCGGTTCATCATGTGTCAAAACGATGGCCGCGAAAGAGTATTCAGCTCAGCCGGTCGGTCGGTCGGTCGTCTGATGTAGTTGGTTGTTTGTAAAACTGAAAATGGACGTTGTCCAAGACGTAGGTGACCCACCATTGATGCTTGGGAGGCAGAGAGGGAGAGGCAATACTTGTGCTTGGCTGCATTTTCGAATCATGTGAGACAATCCTCCTGATTTCTTCTTGTCAATTTGATGATAGTCAGCGTCATCACTACCATTCCACTGATTGTGTTTACGTGGTTTACCACGGAGCCAAGTCGTCTGAACATGTCGCCACCCACACTAGCGAGGTACCTCGAGATCCATGTGCCAATCCAGCAAATGAAAAGTACCTTTTAGCATAGTTCTGTCCAAGTACGCAAACTTGTTTGCTCGTAGACGCCCTGGGTCGCTGTTATCCGGGAGAAATAAAATCCGAGCCACAACTCTCTGCAAACAAAATCCTGCTGGACCTTTTTGCAAACCTGTCCTGCACATTTTCCACCCACCACTTGTTCATGTCATGTCGGTTCGCTTTCCGACCTTACTCAAGATGGCTAGTTCGGATCGATCCACCACCACCCCAGACACGCCGCCAAGCGCGCCAACAGCTTACAGTTGTCCCATATCCATTACCGAGATACAACCTCATCTCTACCTTGGCAACCTGTTCAGCAGCCTGCGGTCGGCCGTGCTGGAGGCCAATCGCATCACCGCCGTCATACATCTCATGGACGGTCGCTGCCAGTGGATGAAGCCTAGCATTCTGAAGATTGTCCCCGAGGCCAACCACCTCTACATTCCGTGCCTGGACAGCGCCACCATGGACCTGCTCCCGTTCATGGCCCGCGTATGCGACTTCATTGAGGAGCACGCGCGGAGCAGCCCCGGCGGCGGCGGCGGCGTGCTCGTGCACTGCCACCAGGGCGTCTCGCGGTCGGCGTCCATGGTGATTGCCTATATTATGCGTAAGCAGCGCGTCAGCGTCGACGACACCCTGGCCGCGGTCAAGGCGAAGCGTCGGGTAAGGCCGAATCCCAACTTCATGGAGCAGCTGCGCGTGTGGGACGCGGTCGGGTACCAGATCTGGCAGGACAGCGCCGGGACCATCCCGAAGCCCGAGTACCAGGCCTTTCTCGACAAGCGGGCGATTGTACTACGGTCCTTAGGCCTGACGGGCGATGAACCGATCGGAATACAGAACCTTTGACATGGAGACAGGATACACGTTGACAACTTGTGCGGGCGCGACTTGGGTCTAGGGGCGGAACTATTGCAAAGGCCAAGCATATTGTACATGTAATGAAACAAGATAAGATGGTAATAATTAAGAAAAAAACAAGGATAATGAAGCTCATGGGATATTTCTGACCGGCGGTTTATTTGTCTCCTGTCGCCACATCTTGATTTGCCGCCCTTTTCACGAGAGCTGCTAGCCGGACCGACTAGACGGACTGTCCATGTGGCTACCCCGCTATTCTAGAATAATAGGTTGGTCTATTTCGGTACTTATTGAATAGCTCTATGCCGCACCAATCCTAAGTACCAAGCTAGCAACAGCTACAGCCCCATTTCTTTTCAAGCATATCCTCGCCTAATGCTAGTAAGGCCATAACTTAACTCCTTTAATATATCTTTCCGCTATAAATAACTCTAAGGGCAAGGAAAAATTCCGCTGCCGGATATAACAATAATAGCCAAAATAGCCAAAATAGCCAAAATAGCCAAAATAGCCAAAATAGCCAAAATAGCCAAAATAGCCAAAATAGCTAAAATAGCTAAAATAGCTAAAAGGCGTTTTTTAAGCGAATTAAGGGCTACCGCGAGGCCTCGAAGCGGCCGTAGAGAGAGTGTGTGTATTATATGTGTATGTTTATAGCTGTCAATTAAGCAAAAAAATACGTCATTTCAAAGATACTTCTATTTATATGTGAATCATAGCTAAAACTATGTACCTTGTGAAATCCCACTTTTCTATAAACACGTGGACAGTCTGTCTAGCAAGATGAGTCGGTCCGGCTGGCAGCTCTCCTTTTCACCTTGTTTTGACTCCCTTCTCACCTCGTTTTGACTCCCTCGTCGGCACATCTCATTTTCCCACTCACCCCCTAACTGGACTCCCTAGATGCCTGACATCCCTACAGACTAGAGATGGGCGTCGTTGTCCCCGAATTCAGATTTGCTAGAGGCCGTCCGCGTCAGCTCCGGGGGGAGTCTCATGATACGGGGATCCTGTGGGCAACGTACTCTGCACAAACTTGTATCGCACCCCTCGATACTCGTCCGAATAGCCGACTCCGTACGTGGCAAGCCTGCTGAAGAAGCTTCTGATGCCGGGCAGCAGTATGTTGACCACGACGCTCTCCTCGCCGAGCGCCTGCGCCCAGAGCCCGACGCGGGAGTCGGCCAGGAACCTGGCGGGGTATGAGTGCGCAATGGCAAAGTTGTTATCGCCGATAACAGAATATTCCTGGGTCAGGCCGTCCCTGATCAGGGCCACGCAGTCTTCAACGGACATATTTATATTTTTTTTTCTTTCAATTTGGAGGATAGAAAAGGGGGGCAAAGGTAGAGCAAAAGTCGTCACTTGTCCTGCCGCATCTATCAGAGAATAGAAAGGGGGGATAAAGGTAGAGCGAGAGTCGTCGCTTGTCGTGCCGCATCTGTTGGAGAATGGGCATCGCGACTTAGGGATACTATTCTGGTTTGCGCGTGGGCCTTTGCCAGTTCTTCCATCGTGTCATTGTGACCGGCAACGTGCCGTGCATGAGCAGAATATGCGAGGCAGTCGATATATTCGTTTACGGTGGAGGACGAGATTGAGGCGACTGGCAGAGTTCGTCTCCAATCGGAGACGTGGCCGCGTATGTAGGGTGCTTCGAATCGCAAAATGTGAGCTGTTGCCAATAACTTGTGGCATATAAGACAGCTAGATAAGTGTTGGCTAATAGGCTCGAGAAGGCGGCGGGATGCAGGACTGCAAGCCTCGTCCTCGTCGACTTAGCAAGCAGGGTGACAATTTACATCTTTGATCCGTGATAAGCCTGAATTCTGCTACTCATTCTTCGAGTCGTGAATGTCATGCTACTCTATCTTGTTTATCCTCCCTGTATATAATACTGTCTCGTTTGCCGATATTGTTTTCCGCATCGTCGTTCTGTAGTAGAGCTGCTGAACCACGTCTGGCTTTTTCTCTTGTCCGGACAAGCCGAAAAGGCACACTTGGTTTGCCATGGGACGCAGTGAAATCACCAGCCTCTGGCTGTCCCGACCTAGTTACCCTGACGTCTCGGCGAACTCGCCATCTGCAGCAACGCTGCATGACGGAAGCAGTCCCGCGGCCTGGCCGTCGTGGGGGGGTCCAGGGACCCGTCGCCATTGGCCTGACGCAAGAAGCGAGCCAGCCCAACGACATACCTATGTAGTTATTGCACACCACCAGCGGCCGATTCTCACCACAACCTTGTCCGCCCAGCACTCGGTAATCAGCGCCGAGGGTCCGTTGGCCGTTGTGGGGGTACCATTGTGACGTGACGGCGGCCCAATCAATCCGTCGTTGCTAACTAGTTATTAATTAAGGGGCTTTCTTGCCAAATTTCGTCGCCTACTTACGTTGAAGCCCAATCGAATCGGCAGGGGCATGTGATGGAGGTACGTACCCATCGCCATCGAGTCTGCAGTCTGCTTCGCCAAGGACGGGGACTGTTTGCAAAGAGGAGTGGTGCGCCTCATTTCATCCATCGAGATCGACTCATCTTGGCTCATCGTGTACAGAAGCCCAGAAACGTTTAGTGGGTACGATCTCCTGTCCCTCTGCTTCATCGTCACAAAAGAAACAGTATAGGAGGGCGTCGAGTCTCTCCAGTGTTGGTCCAGCGCGACTTCGAAAACGTCGTTAAGAAATAAAGTTAATGCTTTTTTAATTCCCTCTATAGAAAAAAAAATCTCCCCGTGCTTTTGAGGAGGCTCTCCTTCTCTTCTTGATGCCACTCACGGACCAGCAGCTCCTGCCAATGCCAAGCCATCACCCGTTTGCTCACATGGCGAAGGCAGCTTTGCAGTTCATCTTGACAATCGCATCCTCAACCATCCTTAATCACCCTCAATCATCTCGACAACCGCAGTAGCAATCATGGCTTCGTCCGTCTTGGCACTCCAATTACCCGAAATCCTCTCTCGCGTCCTGTCTCAGCTTTATAGTCGCCCTGTTACAGCTAGCCGGCTTTCCGCGACACGCCAGCGTCTGTAGGACGGCGCCAATATCGCCAGCGCCTTGCGCGTCAACAAATTCTGGTTCGCGTGCGGCATCCGCATCCTCTGGAGCGAGTCGCGTAGCTCAGCACTCGCTTCCCTGCCACCCACATGCCCACTCGCTGCCCTGCCACCCACATGCCCACGTCGGCAACTCTACGCCGCGCAGGCTATCACGCTACTGTTCGATCCCAATGGTAGCAAGAAGGTGCATCGGGAGCTGCAGTATCTGGTCTTTCCCCGCCTCAAGTGCCTGTTGCTCGACCCCAAGAGCTTGAATGACGCCAACGACAATTTATGTCCTATTTCCCAGTACTTTGGCCCGACGCTGCAGAACCTCGAGTCCAACATAGGATCGCCCGATTCGGATTGCAGTCTGTCCGACATCATGTGGCAAGGGACATACAACCAGGGCAAGTTGAAGCAACACCAGCCTGAGGATCCGATCGCAGTATCGTCCATTTTACGCCTCCTCACCAGGGCCCCGTTTCTGCAGCGGATAGCTCTCGTGGTTGACAATCAAGCCTTTTTCGGTACAGATTTCTTAATTCACTGCGCTCGCCAGCCACAGCTCGTTGAGCTAGCCTTGCGTTGCAATCATGGAGCCGCCACCTGGCAGCGCATTCCCGCTGCCGTCCCCGCGCCCTTTCCTACCCTGCGCGCTCTACACATCTGGTCACATTGCTCGGCTGTCGCTGTTCTTGTCAAGGTCGTGCCAGCTCTCGAGGAGCTGACCCTTCTCCTCACGGACGAACCGAGTGAGAACTTCTTGTACCATCTCCAGTCTCTTTCCGCCTTGCGCATTTTGCTTGTCGGGTATTACTGCTCCGAGGAAATTCCAAGAAGCGAGTTGATGGCTCTCGGGGAGCTGAAGCAATTGCGAGAACTCCGTCTCAGAGCACATACACTTGGTGCTCCACCCTTGCGCTCGAAAAACTCGGGCTTTTGTGACGCAGATTTGGACGTGTTGCTCTCCGGACTAGGCAATCTCCGCGTCTTCGATTTTCGAGTTCTTTGCTCATTATCTTCCAAGGCATTTCTCAAGCTTGCGAGGCACTGCCCTCACCTACAAGCCATTGATATTCTGCAAGTGTGCAACCTGGCGATGAATCAGGATGCGTTTTATACCTTTCCATACCTGGAAAGGTTTGCTGCCCGTGGTTTCGAGTGTCCTCTTGACCATTCTCATTCCGGGTAAGACACACCCTTAGAGCATAATTGACGACCTAACTTCTAATTTGCTTCAACCAGAACTAGTTTTTTTGTAAGGCAGCAACTCCTGCAATTGGGGTGTCTCATGCCAAGGCTAGATGATTTGAGTATTAGTTATGGCTTGGCAGATGTATATAGCCAGGAGCTTGTCCATGCGGTTAAAACTAGGCATCATCGGTACCTATGGCAACAATTCCTCCGCTAGAAAGGCATCAACTAACACGGCATCAACTCACAGCGTCAGCTCACAGCGTCAACTCACAGCATCAACTCACAGCATCAACTCACAGCATCAAGTATCACAGCGTGGGACCACTACATAAGAACGCAAAGGCGCTATAATAAAATGTGTTCACTTTGTCTCGTTTCAATACATGTGAGCTTGACTTCCAGTGAAGCGATAAGGAGTTGTTTCACAGCTCCCAATGGAGCATCACGAGTACGATATTCGCCTGTACGACTTGGGAGAGCACCTTGTCTCGCATCATCAGTCTTGTAGTCCATTTCACACCCATTCTCCAAGCTAAAAGCATTCCCCAGTCATCATCCTCTAGAATGCTCTACCCTCTGTTATAGGCCGCCGTCCTTGTCTTACTGTTCATGCGCTTGCAGACGGCCCTTTGCGTCCTGGCCAACACCGAGGCGCTTTGCCGCTTCATCCCCCCGGTGTGCCGTCGTTGAGAAAAGTTTCAATCGTGCCCGGAAGCACCTGTGAACACATGATGTTTTCCCGCCCTGCGCACGGCATCCCGGCTTGGCGACGCTCCGTCTCGGGCAGAATGACATGCAGTGTATGAACCTAGTGCGCGAATGAGGGAATAGGTGTTTCAATCTTATACACAGCATGCTACTACATAATTAAAAAAGATTTACACAGCTTCAAGAAAAGAAAAAAAAAAGGTGGTATCCAAAAAAACAACCAGTACAGATGAAACAAGTGCCCATGTCCTAACTCGAAAGCAGTTTTAAAAGAGGTGGCCGCCAGGAACAGCGACAAAAATGGCCGTCAAGACGCCGCCAAGGAGAAGTGAGGCGAGAATGGCCTGGATAAAAAATGGTGTCCTGAATCTGGCGCAGCGCCGGCTCCTGGATCCAGACCTCGCGGTCAAAGACCTTGCGGACGACGTTGCGCTTCTCGTACTGCACAACCCAAGGCTCGTCCTCGTAGCTATTGGACGAGTCAAACGACTCCATGCTCGTCTTGGAGGCGCCGACGCTCGCCGCGCCATCCTTCTCCGAGTCCTGGGTGAAGAGCTCCCAGGGACGCACGTGGCGGTGGTGCATGCCGTGCAAGACGACGCACATGCCCTTGTAGGCGGCGACGAGGGTGCTGATGCCGACGACAAAGGCAATGGCCGTGAGGGCGCGCCAGCCGCGGCCGGCACCGCTCAGGCAGAGCACGACGCCAGCGATGACGCCGAGCAGGATGGTGCCGACGCCAAGGCCGCGCGCAAACAGCACGCGCGCCGGGTTGCCGTTGCAGATGGACCAGCGCACAAAGTTGGGATGCGCCTGGCGGCGGAGCGTCGTCTCGACAGCGGCGGCGACGAGGCGCAGCGCCGACGGGTGCGTTGTGTGCGCGAGCGCCTGTACGGCCGCCTTTTGCTCCCACGCCGACAGGTTGAGCTGGCGCGGGCTGCCGTCCATGATGTAGGTAGCGATGACGCGGTTAATCTCCTCGCGAAAGGGTTGGATGGAAAACGGCTGCTTGGCGCCGGCGGCGTGGAAGGCGTCCGAGGCCTGCGAGCGGTACGTGGCGCCATTGGAGGACGGGACCTGCGAGGCGGTGCGGAGCGAAGCCTGGTCCGGGGTGTCGTGGGAGACCCGGGGCGGTGTGTTGAAGGGGTTGCTGCTGCCGGCGTCGTGGCCCTGCTTCTCGAAGTCGGTGCCCTTGAACAGCGCAGAGGCGACGGCGTTGTTGGGGCGCGTCTTTTCGGCCGTGTCCTTGCGGAGGCGCGCGACGACCTCATCCTCCATGGTCTGCGTCCACTCAGGGGACAGGCACAGGTCGGTGGTGTCGGCGCCGCCGAAGCGCTTGACGTAGTCCTTGTGCCACAAGAAGAATTGCAGGTTCTCGGCCGCGTGCTCAATATAGATGAGGTAGTTCATAAAGTCGCGAACAGTCATAGGCTGCACAAACGTGTTGGTCAGCTGGAGGTGTGTTGGGTGAAGCTAGGGTGTAGTAGGCGACTTACAGGGCAGGTTCCGCCGTTGATGATGTTGTCAAAGGCTAGAGACTCGGGTATTCCGTTGATGGAGGTACCAGAGTGCACCGAGTCGCCCGTCTTGGACTCGGCGACAGACTCATGGCTGGCAAGGCTCTGAGCATCGACATGCTTAGGTCGCGTGTATGTGAGAGAGACGCCCATCTTGAGGCGGATATGAGTGATGTCTGTGGCGTATAAGAGCAGCCAAGAGGTGGAGTGGACAGGACAGTGATCAGGTTTCCAGGAAGTACTGAACTACGGAGTGAGGGGAGAGACGAGATATATAGTCGGCTTCCAGCTCTGCGGGCTCCATCAACCCCATGGTGAAAACAAGCAGAGTCATTCAGGCACAGACTTGCGGGAGAGACCTGGCAGGCTAGTACACATGGTGAAAGAAGAAACAACCGGCCCAAAGGGCTGGATGTGGTGGAGATGTCCGTGGCAGCAGGTTACACTGGTGGTCAGCGTGAGAAGCGAACGCCAACATGTCGTACACGATCAAACAGCCATCACCCGCGCCATCACCTGCAGCTAACAAAGCCTAGTTACTCCCTTGTGGCAATGGCGCATCCTTGCTGACAGAGTGGAAACAGGGCCGGTCGATGGCCCGGAGCTAGTGACTGTTGCCTCGGGTGCAACAGGGCTGCTGGGTGTCTTTGTGTTGGCAATGTCGTGCAACTCGTGGATATGGCGACCGTATTTTAATCTAACTCATCAAATTCCGCGCATACACCCGAAACAGAACGCGCCCGGCGGGAGCATGTCGGTCGCTCATTTCGTGGGATCGGGAGTAACATGAGATGAGACGGCGACCAAGACTAACAAAGCTGGAGTGCGGCGATGGCGGTGGTGTCCGAGCGGCTGCCTCGCCAGTGAACTATTGTTTGAGGCAGATCGTGGTGGTGTGCGAGGCTAGCGCCGGCGTCTTGGCCTGGCACTGTGCAGTTGTCTGCGGACAACCCAACAAGGCAGTTGTGGGCAGCCGGGGTCGGTCTGGCCTTGTCTCTTCGAGATTTGGCACAGCGGCACGATTTCCGTTGGCGGCTGGAAATGAGGCACAACAGCAGTCGTTTATTGCTGGGACAGACGGGCGCTGTCAGCAGGAAGCGCAGCACCGTCAATGGTCGTCATGACTGATCAATTTGGGATGCGATGGAGACAGCCAGCCTCTGCGGTGGCACCCAATATATTGTGTGCTTGTATGTCGAATCGTGCTGGCAACCACACACTTCAGAAAAGCAATGTTGGCTGAAGAAGCACGCAGCGTGGGCCAAAAGCAAAACGCGGCGTTGGCTGGCGGGCGGTCGCTAGCGATCCACCTCCCTATGAAAAGGGTTGACTGTGATGATGTTTTTGGGATGGGCTGGCAAAAGAAAACATCAATGAGAAAACCACTCTTGTGCCGGGATTCAGCCTGGAGGGGGATGTTCCGGCAGGCCAACAGCCTACCTACCTACCTAGGGGGTGAGAGGCAAGTCGTTTGTCGGTGATGGTGTTTGTCGCTGTGTACAAATTAGACCACGCATCATTGCAAACAGGTGAGGATTGTTAGCCGCGGTTTCCTGCAGATGCGCATTGTCGATCACGTCTTCGCGATACCCTCCTCCGCTGGTGATCTCCAAGCTTCCCATGGACAAGGTGCTGGAGGATGGTGGTGGTGCGTTGGCACTGCACTGACAAAAAACAGAAATGTTCCTAGTCATGGTATGGTGAGGGACACTCTGTACTCGCACCAACGTCGCCATTGCCTGCACGGAGCAAGTACTCACTGTCGCACGCAGTAGCACATATCAGGTCCGCGCAAGCTCTCCAACTATCTGCTATAAATGTTTCTCGCCTTTCCATGTGAAACAACCCGTTTTTTGCTAGCGTCCAGATGTCGCTCTAGTTATCCTTTTCTTCTGCGTGGCTGGCCGAATAGTTGGTGCCCAGGAGCCCGTTGCTTTTTTTTTTGTGCCGTCTTGCAACTTGAATTTGCTTTGTATGGTAAGGCTCTGCAGCAAGCTATCGAAGCCAGGAAAGTAATCAGTATAAATTGTGTTCCGGGAGATGTGTCAGAATCCGAGTCGACTTGTTTCTATTTTCAACCTGTCTCAGCCCTCATCACGAGCCACTATTCGTATGTATGCAGGAGTTGACCGACTCCTCTGTACGTTCTCTGTACATATCAAGGATACTGCCGTTGCCAAGAATTGCTCATGACTACTTTCGTACATAGTACATGGGGGGGGGCTTGCGCCCGTCTTTCGGGCCGCTGCAGGCTAATATCTGGCCTGCACTGAACCCCTGCTGCGTAAATATCCGACGAGGCTATCGCAAGAGAGAAAAACATGTGTCTGCATTTCCCCGATTTTTTTTCTTTGATCTGGGGGACGCACTGGCCATGTTTTTACTCTTCCCTCGCGGCACTGCGGCGCTCTCAGCCTTTTCAATAGTATTGGGGAAAACATCAGGTCCCACCAGGGCATATTGACATGTCAGGTTTTTTGTTGAGACGGGACGCACTCGGGTGCTTCCGTCGTGCTGGTAGTGAGGGCGCTCATCAATCAGTGCGGCCGTTCAACTGCCGATGGTGGCTGGCGTTGCAAGGTCGTACACCGATTTGTACCCGCGCTGGCAACTAGACACGTTGACACCGTTGACTTATGAATACGGTATACTGAAGAGACAAGACCCAGGGTGAATTAACTGTGCCATGCATCTAACGGTGTCGGGTACACTATAGCGATTTTTGGTTCTTATCGTGCCCGCTCCTTTCGCTCTCATTGGGGTTATCCTCCTGTCTGGACGTCGTCTGGTCATCGTGGCACTGCCTCCAAACCGCACATCCACGGCATTTAAAGACGAACACGAGGAAATATCAAAAGACTTACGGCACGTCCCCCAACAACGTTTTCTTAACTTACCGAAACAGCCCACTCGTAGACCGAAGTCGCATGCCGCCGCCGACGTCCACGGCTACCCTGGACCGATATCCTCGATGATCGAAGCAAGCCGACACGGATCCGTACATCCGACGACGGGAAAAGTCAGGCCACGACGTGCATGCCCGCCATTGTCGAGTCAAGTGTAGCAGGTTTGCGCCAGCCGAAGGCATCTCCGAACGCTGGCACCAACTTGTTGCCATCAAGGTCCAGCCCTCGATGATGTAATCGGTCATGTTAACAGGGGACCTTGTTTTTCGCGGACGGCGCCCACGACATGAAAGTACCTTTTTATTGCCATCGGACCCCCCGCTAAGCTTGCCATCCCTATCATTGCGAAATCCGGCCTAGGCCGAGCTCTGGACCTCGAGAATGCTTGAGAACCCCGCCGTGCGCCGGCCTGTACCTGCAACAACCTGTTACCTTGTTGCGCGCCCGCCCAGGTACCCCCGCCCCAATGGTGTAATTTTTTTCTTAGAGGGGCCTTTGCTGCAGGATATAGCTGTGCCCCTCAATTTATCAATTCCAAATACAAAGCTGCCTGGCTCTCACCTGAAAAGGCGCAAACAGTTTTCTTCTGGTTTTCCAAATCAAACGTTCGAAGAACCGAGAACCACTCTTACTGCCGTGCAAACAGAGCCCGCTCCTCTTGTACGTACTCCGTATACGATCAATTGAAATAGTCACCCCCTCCCCGCCAAGCTACCAGTTCACTCCAGGCTCTCTCTCTTCACACAAAGCAACTGACACCTTGGAAACAATAGCTCTTTCACACGAACCACCCCCATCCACAGCAAAAATGTCTGCTCTCAAGGCCGGTGATAGCTTCCCCGAAGACGTCGTCTTTGGCTGGGTCCGTCCCTCGCCCGAAAACGCCGACATCAACGCGTGCGGCGTCCCTACCAAGTTCCCCGCCAGCTCCCGTAAGCAAAAAGAACAAACCGCGCGCAATGATTGCGCGCAATGATGGGCATTTGGAAACTCTCCTGCCCTCGCGGAATACCACAGCACCGCTAACGCGAAATCGAACAACCGTCCAGAGTTCAAGAACAAAAAGGTCGTCCTCGTCTCCGTCCCCGGCGCCTTCACCCCCACCTGCTCCGCCAACCACATCCCCGGCTACATCGGCAAGACGGCCGAGCTCAAGGCCAAGGGCATCGACCAGGTCGTCGTCATTGCCTGCAACGACGCCTGGGTTATGTCCGCCTGGGGCAAGGCTCAAAAGGTCAATGACGAGTTCATCGTAAGCTCCTCCCCTACAGCGAGCCGTCAGGAGCGAACCAGCAACTAACCAACATTACCTAGATCTTTGCCTCGGACGAGGACTGCAAGTTCAGCAAGAGCATTGGCTGGTTGGCCGCGCCCACCCGCACCGGCCGCTACGCCATTGTCGTTGATCACGGCAAGGTCACCTATGCCGAGCTGGAGCCCGCTGGCGGCGTCACCGTCTCTGGTGCCGACGAGGTCCTCGCCAAGCTGTAAAGGTCTCCAACTAGACAGGCATTTCCCGCAATAGACTTGTAATAGACCATCAATTCCGCATATAATACTTCAAGCGTCGCTGTGCAGTTGTAGTCGTCGTGAGCCGTGAAAATGTTCAAGGTGGCCACATCTGCTAGACTGGCATGAGATGGTGGGGTCAAGTACAACGGTGTTGCGTGAACACACAAGCCATCGTCCGGCAGAAACCACCATAGCTTGGTTGACCTGACATGGTATATGTCAGAACAGACATCACAATTATCTCGAACGCTTCAAAGTTTCCTCACACATGTTCTTGTAGACTTCACGTCGATTCGCCAGTGACGTCACAGCATCTCGAAGGACTCACACCCACATTCTTGTATGAATTGCATTGGCTCGTCATTGTTCAAATAAAACTACCAATGTACCCTATGCCATTCCATGCACCTGAGATAGAAGAACCGGCCGGAAAGACACAAGAACCACAAAGAGACTCCTTTCATCCCTCCACTCCGCGTCACCAAATCGACCCGTTAAAATGTTTGTATTTTCACCCCCCAATTTTTTTATCACGTTTTCAACAGTTGGATAATTTATCGGGTGCGGGCGGCGGGCTTGCTGGCGGCACCACCCTTGGCGCCCATCTTGGAGACCTGGCGGGCGGTCTGGCCCTTGGCGGCACCAGCGTTCTTGGCCTTGTCGGCCTTCTTGGCGGCGGCGGCGGCCTGCTTCTTGTCCTTGGACTCCTTGATGGCGGCGACACGGGCGGCAGTGCGGGCCTCGGGGCGCATGCCCCGGCGCTCCTTAATCACCTCGAGGGAAGCGCCGACGATGCCACGCTGCGCCTTGACGGTGCGGCGGGTGCGCTTCTTGGCCACCTCCTCGGAAATGCCCTTGCGGTGCTGACGGCGGAACAGGACCGTCCAGGAGATGCGGCGGGGGTTCTTTCGTTGCAGGAAGAGCGACTCGGACTTGCCGTTCTGGAAGCGGAAGACCTTGCTGTCACCGCGGACAAAGATCTTACCCTGTGAGAGACACCATTGTTAGCCATCAAATCCTTGGTCGCCGTATATCGATCGCTTATATATGCCCGTCACAAATTCGACAGCTCGTTTCGCCAGAATTTCTCGACTCCAGCAGCGCATCCGGTTTGGTGAGAGAGCCCATGAGGAGGCCTTTGGGATTTTCGGTAATCGGATCGTCCCTAGGGCCACGACATTCGGGTTCCTCATCGCTTCTCTAGATCGCGGCGCCGTGGGATCGCATTGCAACGGGACGGGGGAGGAATTGGCCGTACCTTGCCAGGGTAGATTCTCTGTCCCGAGAAGGAATCGTCGTAGGTACGCATCTTGTCGCGGTTGGTGTGTTTGGGCGACAAGTGTGGTGTTGTGGTGGACCGTAGATTTGGCGATGACAAGAGTTGAGGCGCCCGTTCAATTTCTCAAAATTGGGGAGCGTGTGTGGCCAAAATTACCTAAGCAAAGTCTAGGGCACCTCGAGCGTTTCCGGTTGAGGCTTTTGATGGCGTGCATCACGTGACTCAAGCTCGCTTTAGCGATTTGACCCTAGAGACAAATGGCCAATGAAACAGCTACGTTTGGTCGGACGCCTTGAAGTGGAGCCGCCTGTCCCAAAATGGACAATTTCAATGTTGAAAGGCCTGGAACTTCTTACATCCATCGCTTGCCGCAAAAAGATAAAAAGAATTCGCGGCCGTGCTCATTGGCGCTTGCTGAAATCCAAGAGAATGGGATAGACGTAAGAAACATGGAGGCATCTACTGCCAATGTAATTGCGGAAGCAGTGCTCGCTCAATTCGATAAGCTCCCCGCCAAGCGAAAACCTAAGGTTCGCGATAATGGCCTACATGAATGGGTGCCAATAAGCGGCATCGTGGCAGAAGAGGATGGAGTCTTCACCTGCTTGTCGTTGGCGTACGTACATCTCTCCCGTCTGACAGAGTTCAATACTGAGAGCCGAGTAGCACGGGCATGAAATGCCTGCCGACAAGCAAGATGCAAGACTGCAACGGCGTTGGTCTACACGACTGGCACGCCGAGATTCTTGCCATTCGCACATTCAACCGCCATGTCCTAGACGAGTGCGCCAGATCTGTAGACGGCGGCTCCTCGGGTCTGGTTGAGCGGACAAGCTCGTTGGAAGACGGTACTTGGCCGTTTCGTCTGCGACAAGGCGTCAAACTTCACATGTACGCCTCCGAAGCGCCATGTACGTTGTCGATCCCGCTACAACGCCGACTTGGCCAAGCTAATGAATCGCAGGCGGAGACGCAAGCATGGAGAACTTGATGGCCGCACAGGAAGATGCCTCGCCCTGGGACGCGCCCGCGCAAGCCGACACCGCGCCGCAGCTGCCCGGACGAGCCTACTTTTCCCAGCTCGGCGTCGTGCGCCGCAAACCCGCGCGCAGCGACGCGCCGCCCACGCTGTCCAAGTCGTGCTCGGACAAACTGGCCCTCAAGCAGTGCACCTCGCTGCTCGCATCGCTCCCGTCGCTGTTTGTTGATCCCGGCAGCGCCTACCTGGACACGTTGGTCCTGCCTGCCGACCAGTACTCTGCCGCCGCCTGCCGCCGCGCCTTCTCCGCCGCCGGGCGCATGCGGGCCGTGGCGGCAGACGACGAGGCTACGATGGAGGGCGGCTACCGTTTCCGCCCGTTTGCCGTGGCCACGACCACGGTCCAGTTTGCCTTTTCGCGCCGCGCCGTGCGGGCACGCTCGGACGACCGGGTCGCGGCGAGCAACCTCGCGGCCGCGTGGGCGCCGTCGACGGGGGACGAGTCGCTTCTCGGCGGCGTGGTGCAGGGTTACAGGCCGTTTCTGCCCCGCGGCGCCAGCCGCATGGCGCGGCGTTCCATGTGGCGGGAGTGCCGGGCGCTCGCGGCCAGGTTACCGGACTGGCCGGCGCTGGCGACGCAGCTCGCGGCCGAGACGCACGGCCAGGTCAAGCAGGGGCCGTTGCTCGCGGCGCGGAACAGGGTCAAGGCGCGCGCGAGGGAGGTTGCGCTGCCTGGCTGGATACGAAACACGGGCGACGACACATTTGGCAAAGAGTAGCGGCGAGGAGACAGCAGCAGCAGCATTCAAAAAAGCAGGGACATTAGTAGAGATTGGTATATTCTCAGAGTGTAGCTCGCGTTCTGTACAATGAAAGAAACGAAAAAAAGTATCGAGCCCACATCGCTAATAATGTGCTTTCTCCCCGTCTCCTTGTCCTGTGCCCACGTCAATCTCGTTAACCGTAAAGCGAGACAAATTGGAAAAGAAGATTTATTCGTTTTTTTGTAAAACTTTTTTCAAGCCCCCAGGTCCCATGTGCGAACAGAAAATAAAGAAAAAAAGTACAAGCCGTTTTTTGTTTGCTTCCTCCAATGCCCAGACTATGCAGCGAGTTTGACGTCGAGAGCCTGGGAGTCTGTTTCAAGTCCCGGGCACGGCGCAAATAACCCCGCTGCAAAGAATGACAAATCCCGACGGCCTTTCCCTTTGACCGCGCTTTTAATGCGATGCAAATGTTTCAGACACACACGTTTTGGTTTCTTGTCTTTCCTTGTTTTTGCCCTTTTACTCGACCTTGCTCTCAAAGTTCTCGCCCTCGACGAGGTCAGGGATCTCGTCATCGTCGTCGCCCTCGCCACCCTCGGCCTTGGACATAGCCTGGTAGCTCTCGGCGAGCTTGCGAAGGGAGGCCAGCGAGTCGGGGCCGAGCTGGTTGAGGATGCCGGGGACGAGTTCGGTGAGCTCCTTGTCCTCGCCGTTGCCGTAGATGGCAAAGGTGTTGGAAGGGACCGAGGCGTTGACTGTCGGCGGTGGGGAAGAACAAATGTTAGTGGGTGTTGCCGTCTCAAGCCGTTTTTTTGCGACCGTTGCGCTGGAAAAGTCGAGATACGTACCCTTGGGGCCCTTGAAGTGAATGACGTTGCCGTCCTCCTTGAACATGTTGACCTCCTCAATGCCCTGGATGGGCTGGGTGTTGAGCTTCTTCAGGGTCTGGAGGAGTTTCTTGTCGTCGGTGCCGGAGCGGGCAGGGCCGCGCTTGGCAGGACGACGAGGGGTTCCCTTGCCACTGCGCAGAGTCTGCATGTTAGCAAGCTTGTTTCGTTGATTCGAGATGGTGGTGCGTTCCGAGGTCGGCGGTTTCGGATCGACAATGCTCGGTTGTGAGGGGGGAATGCTTACCCTGGCCGTCAAGTCAGCAATCCCGCTACAATCCAAAATTTGGGCAGCATTTCTGCTACGAATTGAACATACCACTGCGGGCGCTCTGGGCACCGAGCTTCTTAAGACGCTCCTGGATATCCGCCATGTTGACAGCTGTGAGGGAGGGGGGGGAAGGTTCGGGAAACTAGAGACTCGAGTCGTAAGTAGCAAATTCGAAAACGCAATGGGTGGTTTGGCTGCAAAGTTGTTGTAAAAACGGTCGAGCTTGCCGAAGGAAACCGGTGGTCCGGGTGGCGCAACGTACCAAAGAGATGAGGGGTAGCGTCGAAATGGCCTTCTTGCTCGCCTTCGTCACTACTGGTGATGGTTATGAGTAGAGTCGTTTTTGTGCGTTGCCAAGAGTTTTCGCGTGGGGAAAAAGTATTTCGCCGAGAGGGTCCCCTGACCGCACGCTGCGACTTGGCCAGTGTCAGAGGATCGAGCCTAGCTGCCTTGGGATTGGCTTCCCGCGTATCCGTACAACCCGAGCGGAATGGCTTCACGACGGGAATATCATCTCACCATGTTTTCCTGTTAAAAATTTTGGCGCATTGCTTTTGCTTGCCGTCATCGTTCCGAAAGGCCTCCATTACTTTAAACTGCCGGAAACTGGGGGGCTTCGAACAACAACAAGGTCTGCATGGGCAGAGGCGCGACACAGTCCGTAATGCGCTTTATGCACAACCTTCCACGACCAAATAACCTGCTACAAGGGACTCGAAAAGTCTTTTGAAATACCAAATTTCATGGATCGTTTGCAATCGCTGCACCGGACGTTGACAAAGCGCTCCAAGCTCCTCCTCCAACCCCCCCACGTCTCGACTGCAACACAGACTCACAAACACAAAGCGTAACGCCGCATCGCCTTTGTATAACTTGCCCTTTACGGCGTTTTATACCACAAACTAAGGCCTCGTGTCAGGATCGGCAAACCCAAGAGATTCGTTGCCTAATAATAAACCCTTTTCCAGAACATGGCCCTCCCCGCGAAGCCACACTGGTCGCATAAAGTCCCCGTTTCGGCCGGTTCCCAGACAACAAATCAGGTAACCCTTGCAAACCTAAAAGGCCCAGCTTCGGCGCTTTCTGCAACTTGCGCCTCCTGTATTTCCTTTGCATGACCGCGGTTACGATGGTGGGACGATTCGTCTTATGCTCAGCGTTCAAGATGCGACTTGCGGATATCGAGGTCCTTAAGCAGGCTGCAGCCTCATGGTCAAAAGGGCGCTGAGCCGCTGCGCACTTTTATTCTTTTCGTTTCTTCTCACATCAGTTTTACAATTTGCCAACGAAACATACAACCATGAAGATTTCAGTATTTGCGCTTTTGGCTGCGGCCACTACTCAAGCCGCGACCACGCGCAATCTCATGTACCTTTACGAGTAAGTGGTCAACGAACATTCTTGCATAAATATCCAAGCACAGGTTCTGACCAGAGTAGATTTCACGATTTAAAGCACCTCCCACCAAAGGATGTCACCGCAGGTGTCACCCACGTCATTACCGCCTTTGCAAAATCCGACATCTTCAACAATGCCACTAGTGCCGACTATGCACCATTCAAACCGCTCAGCGAGATCCGCGCCCTCTTTGACAGCGACGCCAAAGTATGCATGGCCATTGGCGGCTTCGGCGACACCGACGGCTTCAGTGCCGGGGCCGCCTCCGAGGCGTCCCGCAAACTCTTCGCCAAGAATGTCGCCAATGTCACAGACACGCTCGGATACGACTGCGTTGGTAGGTCAAAAACCAAGGACCCCCTCCCCCTTCTTTTCGGGACTGACACGGCTTGCAGATGTCGACTGGGAGTACCCCGGCGGCAACGGCAACGACTACAAGCAAAACCCCAATGAGGGCAAGGTCAGCGAGATTGAGACGTATCCGCTGCTGCTCCAGGAGATCAAGACGGCCCTCGGCGACAAGGAGCTCTCGATTGCCGTCCCCGGGAGGGAGGGCGACATGATTGCCTACACCATGGACACAGTGCCCGATATCGTCGCTACTGTCGACTTTGTCAACGTCATGGCGTACGACCTCATGAACCGCCGCGACAACGTCACCAATCACCACACCTCTGTTGCGGGCTCCCTGGCCAGTGTCAACGCATACATCGGCCGCGGCGTGCCCGCCGACAAGCTGAACCTCGGCTTCGCCTTTTACGCCAAAAATTTCACCACCATGCCCAACATGACCTGCATCACGCCCACCGGCTGCCCCACGGTCCTGCTCGAGGACAGCGAAGGCAAGGACACGAATATTTCCGGCGTCGCCACCGGCGGCTCCCCGTTCTTTGACGACGTGAGCTTCAGCGACAAGACGTTTCTCAACGCCTTCAACAATAGCCAGGCCGATACAGACCTGGGCGGTCAGTGGTTCTGGGACGCCTCGAACCCGACCTACTGGACATATGATACGCCAGAGTTTATCGCCAAGAAGTTCACCGACATTGTCAAGGCCAAGAAACTGGGTGGTGTTTTTGCCTGGAGTATGACTCTAGACAGCCACGATTGGAGCCACATGAAGGCTCTACAGGCTGGAGTCAAAACTCTGTAATACCGCGGCTAGTCGTTGACCGACTTGTTTGCCTTGTAGGAATGGAAAAATCGAGGTTAGAAAGCGAATCAATTAGAAATATTTTATTATAGAGAATCTAAAGTCTATTCTCAGAATGTCTGCTACTGTACTGTCTCTGTATTCGTGTACGTCTCCTAAAAACCTGTTACTCGTCGGCTTTGTCATCTGATCCTCGATGAAAAGGACCGAAGAATTTGGTGACCGGTCGCAATCAAACCACACCTCAATACGAATGAGTATAGGAGGTGCAAGGTCTCCAACATCTTATTGGTTGTCGCGGTCACACGAAGCAGCCGATCCAAGTAAACTGCGCTGCACCAAAACAAAACATCGACAATGTTTTACATTTGCGAACTGCTAAAATGTCTCATAAGATTCCGTGCGAGCCTGAAGAACAGAGTCAGAGGACCAGAGGATCGTGGGACTGATGTGGGAGGCGATGAGGAGTTTCGAGAGCGCTACAAGAAAGGCGACAGTCACCTCCGGAAACGCCTACAAATGCGTGCGTGACGTTAAAAACTCAACTTTAAACTGCTGATAGTTGAATGTTAGGTCAGTTCGCCTGAACTGTCGCCCTCTGATTGGCTGAGTGTGGGTGGCAGGTCTGTGTAACACACAGAGTCTAGGGTCTCTGCGACGAGGCTCTGAAATCTCCTCACCCCGAGGGATCATCTTTTCTTCCTCGTTCGCGATTGCTCCTCTCTAAACATCTCTCGCCTTCTTTCTGGGCTCAAGTCGCAACCATGTCCGGCCCGCCGCCCAGTCCTGCTCTCGGTGTTCTCCGGGTCGCCACGCCTGCAGACATTCTGCGAATTGGTATTGTTGCCGCAGCCTCGTTTTGCTACTCGCCTCTATTCCGATGGGAAAGACCCCATCACGAAGAGTTCCCAGACGATACCTTGCTGTCGTATCGCACGCAGTTCAAGGACGCCATGAGCAACGACGAGGTGGTTGTTCTCGTTGTCGAGGACGCCTTTATACCCAACGAAAATGATTGCACAAAGGCCATCATTCCGCCAGGAAATGGCTGGACACCTCCTGCCGAGGGCGAAAAAGTCGTTGTGGGGGTTGCGAGTATTAAACTAGAGCCGGGGTCGAACAGGCGTGGCCAGTTTGCTTCCAAGGATGGTAAGAAACATACTCCGAACCTCAGCCAATATCCTCTTGTGCTAACGACTACTCTAGGCGAATACCCAGAATTGCCGCCGTATTTGGGCCGCGATCTCAATAGGAAACACTATGACGCTTGGGGCGATATCGTCGGTGCCTCGAAGAAAAAGTTGGTACTGCGTTTCGTCCCAGGTGAATGATACTGACTAGTCTCCAGCTACTGCTATGGTTTCTCATTCATGAACATGGTTGCTGTGCATCCGGCCTATTGGAGACGAGGACATGGAACCAAGCTGGTTAGTTGGAGCATCAGCCTCTGCAAGCTAGACAATGTTACCCAGGGTGTAAGTGCTGCAGAAATGGGAGCGAATCTCTACAAAGGCCTCGGGTATACTTTCATTTGCAAAGTAGAGGCCGACGGGGATGAAGACGATCCCGAGGGTGTGTTTACCGAGCTACTCAAGTTCGTTCCGTAGTTGCCATATATTTTTGTGGCTAGTACATCTTGACCACAACATGTCTAGTGCCTGCTCCGAGATGGCATAGATGTTGTCACCGTCACCGCTGGGATCGACACTCCAGGGACTTTGAAGAGTGCTATGGTATCTGTGATCATTTATTGGCTCCATCGAGTGGATTTGATGACGGTGCTGGTATCTGCGGCATGTATTGATTGGGAGTATCACGATGGCTGAGAAAGGGGGGTTGGGCTCGAAGGACATGGAACTGGCGTCTGGGTTTTACACGGACGAGAGGGGAGTGTAGACAACGGGAAGGAGAAGGCATCTGTTGACTTGGTAAACTGCGGTCGGGCGAGCTTTAGAAAAGAGTTGTGGGTGGTAAAGTCAAAGATGAGACCGCTTTGGCCGAAACCAACCCTTTCGTAACTATGATGTAATGTGTTGGATGCGTCGGCTGCGTTCGTCTGAGTCGGCGATAGTCAGCGTGGATAGATGTCGACGTAACACCTCCCATGACCGCATTCTATCTATCGAATAATTTACTCTGGGGAAGGCGATGTTGGATGTTGAAGGTCATTCCAAATCGTGTTCCAGATATGCGAACAACTTTCGTATCCCTTGCTTGTCCAGCCTCTCCTGGTTTTCTTATCCGGTTCAGATTTTTGAAGTTCGTCTACCTTTGCTTGTCTCGAGACGACTCCTGGAGGAGACTTTGACTCTTGACAATGGAAAACGGTACTGCAAGCTTGGACCAGAATCTATCGCAGTACGATGGCATTGTATGATTCATGTGGTACGATGGTCCTGGGGATGAAATCGCGGTGCCGCTTCGCGGGTGCTTTTCACGCCTCGGATACGTGTTTGAAACGAACTCTATACATTTGTCGTATGCTTTATCATGACATAATTAACAAGCGCCATCACAAGGTGAGGAGGTCGTTTGAGGGAGTGGCCACAGCAGAGACGCCGACACAAGTATCACAGCTACCCGGGACCAGAAACGATGCAAATGGCCTCGAGCAGAACCCGGAGGAAGGAAACAGTCCCCAAAGCCATACCAGTCCTGCTCGCATCGGCTTGCTCTCATTACGGGAAGCACCCGGGCCTCCTTTTGCCGCCACGGCCCGAAACGGCACCAAAATTCGCGGCGCTGAAATGATCTCCTGGCGAATAGGGTCTGGACAAGGCCTATTTTTGACCTGCGGCGCAGAGAAGAGGCGATTCTAGATTGACGTGGCCGGTTTGGGGCTGAATGAAGCGTCGGTGCCCGTCAGCCATTGTCTTCGGATGCTTACATGGTGCAGAAGAGGGCGCGTTCACCCAGGACAAGACTATGAGAAGTTTTGGGGGGATAAGCCATTTCAGTCGTCCCTCCATAGTTGCTCTGTTTATATTTTCTAATTACTGGTATGTTTTTCTTCTCTTGACTTGGAGACGAGGTCTGGATAGCGATGAGCTTTTCAGCCGCACTGTCTTGGGTGTGAGGGAAGACATCGGACAGCGTCACAGACTGCACAAATGTGGCATTTGCATCGCTCGTATTCGTGCACGGGTTTACCTGTATTAGTATCTCGTCTGTTGCCTTTGTTGGTGAGATTACATATGCGAGGGGCTGGGCTTGCGCGGGCAGTGTTGCATACGAATCACACAGGCCTCCTCGGACCGCTCCCAGCTGAGGCACCTGGCGGCGCTGGACAGCCTCCGCCTGTCTCACCCTGTATGCAGCCAGCAGCCGGTCCGTTGAACGGGTAATGAGTCGCGGAGTGATGAGTTGCCGATGGCTTGCTGCGATGTGTTAGAGCAGGCCGTCAAGGAAAGCCCCCCCCGGTGACATGGCTGCTTTGCGCCGTCTTTATCCTTTTTTTCCGTTGTTTGACCGGAGGATCATCATGGCGATCCGAGACATGGATGCAGGGTGCGAAAGGTGCAGGTTTGAGGGTCGAGATGATGTGTCTTGGATTCGAGACAATGTCATCACACGGATCAACCTTTTTCGGTCATTCGTAGGCTTGGGTGCCTGCACGAAGAGCATCCGGCATCGAAAGCTAACCGCGCCTGCAGAGAAACGTGCTGATTTACCGCTTCCGACATGACCGTTATTTCGGAGCAGCCGCGTCAAGAACCGCACAGTTGTCCAACTACGGCATGCGCCTCTGCTCTCCAACCAAGGTGGCACCCCACCGCGCATTGCTGCCCAGGCTCTGCGCAATCGACTTACTTGGTGCGTTCTTGTTCATGATGGGTCTTGTATTGCGCCGAGAACACGTTCCACGTAACTAGACGCGGGAGCCTGCAGGTGATGAAGCAGCAACCGACGTCATCGTACTCAGGCTTCGGGAGGCAACTCCCCGCTCCCCCCTTCGGCGTGCGGGGGCGGGGGGGTTCGGCGATGATGATGGAGACAAAGGCTTGCCAGCGTGGCCTCGCATCGTGGCTGTCTAACACGCGGACGGCAATGGGTCCTAATTGCGGGAATAGTGAATTGCGACGTTTTGGACGCGGCCTCAATCTACGACGGGCCTCTTGATGTACCTGCGCTGCCTGCCCGGTGTTGATGATGGAAAGATGCGTGTCGCACCACGTTTAGACAGATGGCCGAGGGGAGCCCGCCACCAGCGAGTGGCGGTCGCAGCGAGTTCCGGACAATGAAGGCGAGATGGTGTGCAAAGCGTCGTTTATTATTTGCATGTGGTTATTCAGACACGAAAACAAGGCGAAACGAGTCCTGTGTCCTGTAATTTGATGCTGACGCAGGAACGCAGTTCATTGGTCAAGCGACACCACCACCACGAGTCACATAAGTATTGCAGCATGAGTTATTTCGACAACGCAACTGCGAGAGAATTAATTTGTAGTTAATAATGAAGCATGCAGCTATACATACATACATACGTCCATCTTGTTATGTAATAACTAATTACAGAGCAACTACATCGATAATGCGCCGTCTGGGCGGAGCCGCCAGTGTCGGACAAGAAACGCCAAGTTTCTGGGCAAAATTAAAGTGTATGAGCGGGAATGCAAGCCTCTTTTCTATTTCTTTCTTTTCTTTTCTTTTCTTTTCTTTTCTTTTCGCAGTTTCCTAGTTTCGGTACTTGGGCGAGCGCCAACTCTTGGCTCTTTTGAGCTTTGATCCAAGCAGAGCCAGCCACCCCCTTGATGCCGTGATGGCGTTGGGCACTGAGATCAAAGGGGGGGGGAGGGAGGTTTGTAATGGCGCTCCCGTCAGTTTGCCGACGACAGAGTTTTGCCTCGCACGGCATGAACCGCCTCCCGCGCTGGCTGGCTTCGGATAACGAGAATCATGTGCTACTCTCGGCCTTTTCTTGTCTCGATCCTGTGTGTCCCTTGTCTGAAATTCTAGGTTGTGTCACAGCGGCCCTTTGTTCAGGTCGTCCAGGATAGGTGGGGGGGGGGGGGGGGATGGGGGGGGACAGGTGGTGGCGTTTTGTGGCGCAGGGCATGCGCACAGCTCCTCTGCATGTATTGGTTTGGCATGCATTTTCGGCGCGGCGTGCGGTGAGTGCTACAGAAATCCAATGGAATGGAAGCTACTTCTTTTCCGGGATTGGAAACAACGGCATGCATGCGAGAGCCAAACAAAAAAAAAAAACAAAAAAAAAACTTGACTCGGGACACGCGACAGAGGTTTGACATGTTTGATATCAGATGCCGTCGTCGCGGAACTGCGAGGAACAACTGTCCCCGTTTCCAATGCGCCAAGGTTCCTGCAGAAGACATCGGTCACGTTTTTAGAAGGCAACGGAACGGGGGGGTTCAAGCGCAGCTGGACGCCTCGACGAGCTACCTACGCTAGTTTGGCTAGTTGCCAGAAACACTTGCAGGTGTCACGGCCGCCGCGTGGAAATGAATCGCTCGGGCACGCCAATGGAACTCCGGGGAGCAACTCCAAAACGAGGCTGTCAGGCCGCGCACTTTGTGGGCCAAAAACACGGAAATGCAGAAATGGGTACCCGTCCGAGTTGGGAATGAAATGTATCCTGCTGGGCCCGTCGCAAGCAACTTGTATGTTAACTCGACATGTTTATGTTTGACGTTTTGCACAACAAGCTGGCGGGAAAACAAGGCGGGAAGCTGGTGGCCTTGGCTGACCGAAGAAGGGAAGAGGGAAGAAAAAAAAAAGAGAAAAAAAAAGAAGAAAAAAAAAGAAAAGAAAAAAAAAAAAAAGAAAAAGCCAACCTGCCCGACGGATAACTAGTCAGTCAATTATTATTATTAGGTTCAGTAGTTTTGACTTGGGGAGTTTGTTACGGGGGCAAAAAAGCGCCCATTGCCCCGCTGTACCTGGGCGAGCCTCTTGGTCTCGTTTCCCGTATTTGATTTTTTGGCTACCTGCTCTTTTTCCCTTTAAAACCATGATTCCCGTTCGCCGTTGCATCTTCTTACTCTTTTGAGTTGGTAGATGAGATTTGACAGTCATTCCTTGAACCGAAAAAAAAAATCACGCCCTACTTCTTCCCTCTTAGTCACTCCTCATCCTCGTTGATCCAACCAAAAAGCCTCCATCACTCTCGTCACTTTTGCAAATATGCAGGCTCGCATGCTTCTGTGTCTCGCGCTGGCTGCGCTGCAGTCCACCGTTGAAGGCCTGCCCCGTATGTTTCTTTCTCCCCTCCCCCCCTGATCGCAGCAACAGAGACAACCCCAAGTGCAAGAATAAATAAGAAGAAGAAAAGAAGCTAACAAATTGCACTTAGTTGATGGACTGTTCACCCGCGACCAGCTCGCCACCACGGCCAACATCCATCTTCCCGGCGCTGCCGCCGCGCGCGCCTACCAGGCTGAGGTCTCTGCCGCAGACGCCAAAGAGGTCCTCGGAGTATAAGCGTCGTCTATCACGACGCGCCCATTACCCCCCTAAAAAAATCAAAAAAATACATGACGACCTATACGACAGAGACCATCACCAATGGTCATCGGCTTCTCACTGCACGGCAGGCATCGGTTGCCGTCGGCGCACGTCGACAACCACCACCCACCAACCACGCAACGTCATTTCCTACCTGTTGCACAACCGCACCTCATGCGGAACTTTTTTTCCCCCCTCTCTCTTATTGGGCTCGCAATATCGGATTAGACGGAGTTCTCTATGTGTTTTTTTTTGGGACGAGGATGCATGATGGGCTGACGTGTGTCGGGCACGGCGGTCGCTCGTGTTCTGAGGCGGCGTTTACGGCCTGCAAGGGGTTCGAGGAACCGGGCGACATTGACATTTCCAGATGGCTGAATGGTTGCGGATCACTTTGTCCGTATTCTCCTGTTTGTCTTGTCTCTTGTCTAATTTTTTTTTTTTTTTTTTGATTTCTTTCCAGTTTCATTTTGATAGAGCTCGTCTACGCCCGCTGCACAATAATGGCATACTGATAATAGAGATGACGACAACTCTGCCGGCCACTTCTTCTTTAGTCCCGTGCTCCGTGCTCCGTGCTCCGTGTAATGTAGTTTATGCAGGGCGAGGGCTCGTTATTTGACACCAAGATCTAGTCAATTACGAACAGCGTTAACCCGTTTAGGAAGTATAGACCGTCAAGGACGCTAGTGCCACGCTAAAAGAATTTCTAGCCAATCAGAAGGCAGGAGTGCCACCTATTCCGTTAACCACTATACACACTCAAGACACTATGTACGTATTGACAGCACTATCAACAGCGCTATCAATACACAAGCAAGACAAAATCAAGACATAATCAACACAATCAACACACAATCAACACACAATCAATATACAATCAACACATAACCAACATACAATTAACACACAATCACAACACAATACACACAATCAACACAATCAACACACAAATCAACACACTATCAACACACAATCCATCAGCTCCATATTCCCTAAATAGGTTTAGGGCTGTTGTCAATTAACTAGATCTTGCTGTCAAATTACTAGGCCTCATGCAGGAGCTGGAACCAACGGTGACACCGATGGTGCCACAGACCCAGCTTGTCGGGACCTGTACCCCCCCCTCCATGTTGACGACAGCTGGGTTGGCGGAATGGTCAGCAATATTGCGCGATTCCGCAGCTCATTCACCTGCGTAATCGGTTATCGGGCTGTGGCGTGCAGAATGATCAATCCTGGGGTTTTTCGCCAGCTTATCAGTTTTCTCCAGATTTTTTGCTGCTTTGCATCCTCTTCTGTTACATAATAGGTGGGCAACATGCAATTTTGGCCCCCCCCTTGCGTGGGGTCAACGTAGATTGCATGCAACCTTGGTTCAACCTCCGAGTCAGTGGTCGACTGTCAGCCGCTGGCGTCTCTCTCCTCTTTCGGATTAGTGCTGCCCGCGCATCCCAGGAGGACCCCATCCTTGCTTCCCAGCTGCGGCGAGCCAAGCCTATCAAGTTTCGCCCTCAACAGCTTCACACGGGCCCTCTCGCTATGCTTACCCACTGTCAACCCCCCCCGCCGCTGGTCTCACTTTTTTTTTTCTTCTCGCGTGGACACGGAAGATGGGCGCTGGCTGGTTCTGCCAATCTGCCCACCGGCTCGCGCGGACATCCAAGACAGTTCCAGCGTCCGTGTTTCACGTCTATAACCTGCAGCTTGTTCTGCCCAGAAATTTCCAGCGCTCCGTCGCAAGCTGCTAGCTGGCATTGACATGCCTCTTTGGGAGAGGCCGGGTTCCTCTGCGGCATCTCCCCCGATTGCTGCGCGAGAAAATCCTCGTTTAACGGACGAATCTTATTGCTCGCTTGACGACACTTGTCCCGTCCCCAAAGTCTGGTCTCTGTTTGATGTGCGCTCGGCTAGCGAGTTTTGCCCATGATGGATTTGATGACCGTGGTGCTAATTCCGCGATTGAGTTTCTGCAGCCCTGCTCATAGTCCCCCCCCCCCCCAAAAGTTCCCATACCAGCCAGTAACTATACAAGTTAACACCGTAGCAGTGCGTTTGCCCCCCCCTGATGGCGACAGGCGTCCCCGGTCAGCCCGTCTTCAGGCATCGACAGACTGTCTTGGGCCGGCAGTTGCGGACTTGCAGCGCGAACTTGCTATCGGTGAGACGACCCGGCGGCCTGGAGATGGGCTGGGCTAGTGCTGTAATAGGCATGTACGAAATGGCCGTCTCTATTTTAACTATCGTTTTTTTTTTCCCGTCATACGACAAGTACAACGCAACGACGAGAAAGCGGTACAAGCCGCTGTCTCGAGTCTGCGCGCAACTTGTCGCAGCACCACTATGCGCCTCCCACTTCTGGCCGGGTGGTGACAGCACCACGTATTCAACAACCAATCTTGCTTTTCCTCGCGATACAGGGGGGACGGACCAGTTGCACGCACAGCGACCAAGTCTCCAAGAATCGGCAGGGCCTGTGCCCCGAGAGTCCTTGACGCAGCGTAGCATCGCGCACTGGAGTCCTGCATTAGTGTGTGGCTAGCCCGTCAATCGCCTTCCCATCCGGGCGAGAGTCTATTTTGCGCTCAGCGGTTCCATCGCACTGGCGGCGGTCTTGGTGGTCTTTGCAGGTAAAAATTAAAAATTCTTGGCCGTCGCCCGTTGCAGTGGTGGCCGCCCGCCATCTTGTCCCGCAATACCAGCCGTGTTGTCGTGTCTGCCTGTCTTGTCGTGCTGCTGCTGCTGCCAATAATAACACTGCGTAGGTAATAAATAGATAGTCCTCATCTCAGACCATCTTCGCAGCCTTACCTAATGACCCTGGACCCTCCTCCCTCTCTCTCCCGCCCACCCCCGAATCTTCCTCGTCTTCATGGGGACGGGACCCCAAACAAAAACGCCCCCCCGATCTCTTTACATTCCCATCTCCTCCACACTTTTGAATTTACGCCAACCTTTTTTCTCCTTGGCTTTTCTGGTTACCAGTTCCTCGTTGAGCTTCTCTGCTTCTGGTCCTCTTGTCGGTCGCATCACTTTCGCATCTCACACCTCTCCCTCAACGGCCGCCCGGCAAACACTCTTCCCAAACACGCCGCAAACAGATGCCTCTCGACGACACTCGCTTCTCCCATGGTTAACTGATGCAGAGCATGGATGTCTTTGCCAGGACCATGGCCGCCGATGGCGATGGCGCCTTTGGTCCCGCGCTCAAGGGCGTCTTCGACTTTACCCTGTCCTTTGAGCACTCCATCCTCTCTATTGTGCCAACATCCGTCTTCATCGCCCTCACGCCACTCCACGTAAATCACCTCTTTCGCCGCCAACCATGCGTCAAGCCAGGAATCTTGCTCTGGCTCAAGATGCTCAGCACCGTCCTGCTTCTCTCTTGCCACGTCGCCAGTCTTGCTCTCTGGGCCATCTCCTCGGTCCCCCGACACGACTTGGCTGTCGCCTCGGCAGCCATCGCCTGTGTTGGCTCCATCTGCGTCTTCTTTCTTCTATACGCCGAGCACATCTACTCATACCGACCCTCGACCCTCCTCAGCCTCTATTTAACCCTCATGGTCTTGTTCGATATCGCCAAGACGAGATCCTATTTTCTGCGCACCGATCTCCGTGCGCTTGCTGGTCTTTCTGTCGCCGTCGTCGTCGCTGAATTCGTCCTGCTCCTCCTCCAAGAAGTTTCGAAACGTCGCCTCGTCACATCTCGAAATTCTCAACCCCTACTGAGCGGCGAGACCCTAAGCGGTTTTTGGGGCCGGGCTCTGTTTCTCTGGGTCAACACGACCCTCAAACTGGGCTTCCGTTCCATTCTGCGCGTCGAAGACCTCAAGGACCTGGGCCCTGAATTCAGCTCCGAGCGCCTCCATACCGAATTTGAGCCTCATTGGCAAACCGCGAGCCCAACCTCGAATCACTCTCTTGCTTCTGCTCTCCTCCGCACACTCTATCCCGAGTTTTTACGAGTCATTGTTCCTCGCATTTGCTTCCTCGGCTTCACTTTTTCCCAACCCTGGCTGATAATGGCCATTATTGACACTGTCGTTAGTGGTCATCCCGGCTCCGAAATTTCTGGGGGCCTCGTCGGTGCCACCGCTTTGGTCTACATTGGCATTGCCATCAGCAGAGGATACTACAGGCATCACGCCTATCGCTCCGCCACCCTGACCCGCGGTATTCTCGTCACTGCCATCTTGCACAAGGCACTCAAGCTTACTCACACCCAACTCAAAAAGTCGGCCGCGCTGACCCTCATGACCGCCGATATCGAAACCTTGACCTTCACCATTACAACCTTTCACGACCTGTGGGCCAGTGCTTTTGAACTCGGTCTGGCCATCTTTATGCTGGCCAAGATCATTGGTGGCGCGTGCTTCTTCGTCCTCATTCCCGCCGTCCTGTCCGCCGTTGTCTCGTCCTACTACACCAAGAAGCTTGGCGTCGCTCGGAGAACCTGGAACGAAAAGATTGAAAAGAGAGTCGGCGAGACCAAGGATGTCATTACCCAGCTCAAGGCCATCAAGATGAGTGGTCTCGCCCCCTTTTATTCCAACCACATCACGGCCCTTCGCGAAGACGAAATCAAGACCTCGCTCCCCGAGCGCAGTGTGCGTGTTGGTCTGCTCTCTGCCGGTGCATTGTCCGATGCCATCACCCCGGTCCTGGTGGTCGCTGGAGCTCTTTTCTGGACCAGAGAAACCGAGAAGCTCACCACTGCACAGTTTTTCACGGTCTTGTCCGTCGTTGCCGTCGTTGTTGGTCCAATGACCCACCTGCTCACTTACCTGCCCTTTGCCGTTGGTGGCTATGCTGGATTGACTCGTATCCAGGCCTTTTTGCGGCTCGAAGAACGTCTTGATACTCGCCAGAGTGGAAACGGTCCGCCCGAAGGCTCGCCCATTGATATGATGATGATACAAGCCGAGAATCTCAGGAGAGCCCGTGAAACGGCTGAGAAAGGACCCAGTCCTTTTGCTGTCGAACTTGTCCACGTCACTATCAACCGACTCGAGAATGCCGCAGTTCCTCTCATTGATGATATTAGCATCCAATTCCGCACAGGCCAAATATCCATGCTAGTCGGACCTGTCGGTTCCGGCAAGTCCACCCTGTGTAGGGCCATCCTGGGCGAGCAGAAGCTCGACCACGGCTTTGTCCTCATGGGAGGAATTCGTGTTGCTTACTGCGACCAGTCGCCGTGGCTCCAGAATATGTGCATCCGCGACTGCGTCATTGCTCACTGCGAGTACATTCTGCCCTGGTACAAATCTGTCATTTGGGCTTGCGCGCTGGAAGAGGATTTGGAGCAACTGCCGGACGGCGACAAGACCATGGTTGGTAGCGGCGGTGGCCTCATCAGTGGCGGTCAAAAGCAGCGCGTTGCGCTAGCGAGAGCAATCTACTCCCGCGCCCCCGTCATCGTCCTCGATGACGTTCTCAGCGCGCTGGACTCTGACACGGCTGAAATTATTCTGTCCCGCCTGCTTGGGGAGGATGGCCTTCTCACCCAGACTGGTACAACAGTCATCATGACTACCAATATTCGCGAGCATCTCCCCCTCGCACACACAGTCTACGCTCTAGACGGCAGGGGTCACATCAAGGAGACGGTCAACAACTCGCCCGACCTCATCCGAAAAGAGTACTTGGTGAGCAGCTCTCAGTTGTCCAAGGAAGTCGAGCCATTTGTGCCCCAGCCATCACCAGAGCCTTCCAAGGACCAGGCGCACCAGCGTCAACGTGGTGACTTTTCACTGTACATGTACTATTTCCGGTCCAGTGGAGTTTCCATGATTGTTCTCTGGGTTCTTTCCATTTCCTTTGCTGCCGTCATAAGGGCCCTGCCTCAGATTTATGCCAGCCTCTGGATGGACCAAGATCCGCAAAATATGAAGTGGTTCTACGGCTATGCTGCCTTGGCCGTCGGTACTGCTATCACACTCGCCGTCAGCTTGTTCTTTTACTATTACAAGGTAGTGCCCAAGTCGTCGCGTGCTCTGCACAAGCAGTTGCTGGATACGACGATGAAGGCCCAGCTGCCGTTCATCACCAAGACCGAGAGCGGTGTCCTCGTCAGCAAGTTCTCACAAGATGTTGGATTCTTGTCGCAACAGCTGCCGCAGTACTTTTTGGAGTTTACCTATACCTCTGTTGCCTGCTTGGTTAGCATTGGAGTCATTGTCTCTGGCGCAAGCTATGCTGCTATTGCGGTGCCTGCACTGCTCATTTTTCTCTGGCAGATGCAGAGATTCTACCTGCGCACCTCTCGACAAATTCGTCACATGGACCTCGAAGCCAAGTCGCCCCTATACACCCTCTTCCAGGATGTCGGCGACGGCATCATGCATATCCGCGCGTTTCAGTGGGAGTCGGACATTAAGTGGCAGGGATACGGCCTGCTGGACTACTCGCAGCGTCCCTACTACTACATGTACGCCATTCAGCGCTGGCTCGCGCTCGTCATGGACCTGACCGTGGCCGGCGTCGCCATGCTCCTCGTTGGCCTCGCCGTCAACCTGCCTGACAAGACCAGCGGTGGTGCCATTGGTCTGTCCTTGGTGACACTCATTAACCTGAGCGAGAGCATGTCGTACCTCGTCAAGGATTGGTCGAATCTGGAAACATCTCTGGGTGCCATGGCCCGTGTGCGCGAATTTAACAACACGACGCCGCTCGAGGCCGAGCCCGTCCTCAAACCCGGCGAGCAGCTGCCCGACAACTGGCCGTCTCTGGGCCGCGTCGACCTCGCGGGCGTCACCGCCAAGTACGATCCGCAGGACCTGTCGTCGCGCCCTGTGCTCAAGGACATGTCCCTCACCGTACAGCCGCACGAAAAGGTGGCCATTATCGGGCGCACAGGCAGCGGCAAGTCGTCGCTCCTCCTGGCGCTCCTCAGCTTCCTCGACTACAGCGGCACCATCCGGATCGACGGGCGCGACGTGCGCAGCATCCCGCCAGACCTGCTGCGCTCGCGCATCATCACCGTGTCGCAGGACGACGTGGAGCTGGCGGCGTCGATCCGCGTCAACCTGAACCCGTACGAGGCGCGCGACGACAGCGACCGCATCTGCGACGACGTCATGATTGACCACCTCACCCGGGTCAAGCTGTGGCCGCTGATCCAGGCCCACGGCGGGCTCGACGTGCAGCTGCGCGACCTGGCCTTTTCCAAGGGCCAGAAGCAGCTGCTGTGCATCGCGCGCGCCATGCTCCGCCGGCAGCACACGTCGGCCAGCCTTGTGCTCATCGACGAGGCGACGAGCAGCGTCGACGAGGAGACGGACGAGGAGATCCAGGCCGAGATTGCGGCCGCGTTTGCGCACTGCACGGTGCTGACGGTGACGCACAGGATGAGCGCGGTGCACCATGCGGATGTGATTGTCGAGATGGAGAATGGAAATCTCAATAGGGTCATAACACGTCGCGCACCGCGCGATGATGAGGAGTTTTAGGAGTTTGTTTTATTTTGATGTTTATATAGTCATGGGTCGGTTACATAAGCGTTTGCCATTTCTTGATACCAATTTGAGTTGGATCTGATATCATTGTCAATGTATAAACAAGTAAAGCATAGTTGTCAGCAATCATCTCAAAATGTGTAGTCCCGTTGCTGCTATAAGTGACTTGCAGCGGTCCCTCTTCCGTGCTCGACGACTCCTCGGCCTGAAGAAGAAAAAGTACACTGCAAACATGATGATACACGTTTGTTGCTATAATACACGGCGCCAAACGAACACGACCAGATCCAATCACGCCCTCGCCTTATCAACCTCCTCCTCCCCTGATCCATCCCCCCCCTCACTCCAGCCCAACCTCCTTGCGCATCGCCTCCCTCCTCGCCTCCGCCTCTCTCGCCAACTCTTTCGTCGACGTAGCCTCTCGTCTCTTCTGCCTCTCCTCCTCCTCCTTGATCACGGTCCAGACTAGTAGTTTCACCTTTGTCAGCGGCAACCCCCCCCCCCCCCCCCGGTTTGTCAATACATACTTGGCTTGTCCGACTTGGAATACGCCTTGAGCCTCGTGACAAAGTCGTTGAACTCGGCCTCGCGCTCCGCGCGCCCCTCGATGCTCTTGCGCAGCAGGTCCGGGTTGTACCGCGCGCGCAGCTCCTCCTCGGTCGGCACGACCCAGTACGTCAGCGCCGGACCGCCGACGCTCACGCCGATGCCCCTGCAAAGCCCGTCAGCAAAAAAAAAAAAACACTCCTCGAAATTCGGGGCACGTAAAAAAACGTGGGGGGGTTGGGGCGAGGAACGCACGCTACAATGACCTTGGTCCAGAGACCCCAGTTCCTCGGGCTCGGCATGGTCGCGCTGTGTGGTGGTGTTGGGGAATCGACCCGTCGGAAGGGAGGCGGGGGATCGTGGTGGATGTGCACGTTTTTTTTTCCTCGATGAATGGGCGGAGAGGGGACGGGGAATGTTCGCGCGCAGTCGTCTTTTGTCGTGGTTCGCTCGTCGTTGCGGTTGTGACGTGATGCACGGTTTAGTTGGAGTCTGGGATTTTGCCGATTACTTGCCACGCCTAGTTGGGAAGGCGGTCTGGCGCAACAGTATTTCGTGTGCATTGCGAGAAACATGTTGTTCTGACTCTCAGAAAAAAAAGAAAAAAAAAATACAAAGACAAAATAACAATAGACTCTGCATACGAAAGCACAACGAAATATTCTGACAAAGTAATAGTCTCACGGTGTACGCAGTGAACCCGTACGTACCATGTATCATCGATGCGTTTCAACACAGCATACCTGCGGCAAATGCTATTTAAACAACTACCGCCCGTGATGTAATAATTGTACATGAAATCGTGAACGCGTGAAAGCAACTCGCCTCCGCTGTTGCTTCTCCTCCCTAGTACCGCCGTATCCCAGCGTCGCATACATCATCGTCATACATCTACATTATCGTGCAATCTCCCTCTTGTCGGTCGACGCGACTCCGTGAAATGCGCTCTCTAGGCCGCGGCGGTCCTGCTTTACCGACCCTCTTTAGCTCCTCGAGCCTCTCTCGCGCCTTGGGATAGTCTTGCGCTACAATCTGTTAGTAAGATCCTCATCTCTGTGTTAGTGAACGTACCTGCAGCGCGCCAATACCATCTCTTAGCATCTTCCAAGTTTGGCGGGATGCCGATGCCGACCTCCGTAAAGTACCCCATGGCAAATTCTGCCTTGGCCATGCCCGCTGTGGCCGCCTTGCGCGCCCACAGATACGCTTCTGTATCGCTCTGGTTCAAGACCCCCTCGCTTCCAGTGAGATACCATCCACTTAGCGCGAGCTCGGCCTGGTGCTCCTCCTGCATAGCAGCGCGCGAGTACCACACGATGGATAGTCGGGGGTCAACCGGACACCCCAGCAAGCCGTACTCGTAGGCGCATCCAAGGCGAAACTGCGAGAATTTGTATCCAAGCTCCGCCGCCTGCTGGAATAGGCTCAGCGCATACCCCTCGTCACGAATAAGCAAGTCATTCGGTTGTGCTGATTCGTACAGTAGACCGAGCTCGTGGAGCGCATGTGGGTTGTCCTCGTCTGCCCTCTCAGCCGCTCGCTTCAGCCATCCGACAGCCTCCCGAGGGTTCTTGTTCTGTCCGAGGAGCCCCTTCAGTGTCACCATACCCATCTTGTACATGGCAGGCGGATCGCCCAGCGTCGCAGCCCGCTTGTACCACTGTATCGCCTTGAGCGGATCGCGTCTTGTGCCACCCCCCTCTTCGTGACCAATTTCACAGCAAACAGCCGTGCGATATGCAGCAGCGGCGTGCCCCAGTTTAGCTGACGATTGATATAGAGTGAATGCTTCCTTTGTGTCTGGCTCACCACTGAAGAGACCCCTCCCGAGGCCGTCAGCCAGTGTGAACATGGCTTCGACATTTTGATTGCTGGCCAGCTTCTTCAGTATCTTGTGCGCATCCATCAAGTATCTATCTTTGGCTTTGGCGCGCGCACGAGGATCTGGTATTTGTGACACGAGAGCATCAGAAGCTTCAATCAGTCGCTTTGCTAGTCTCAGCGCGGATTGCTGATCTGCGGGATTTGTCCTTATGATCATTCGTAGCTGCTCCAGCTCCTGCGTTGTCACCGGCTTCTCGGGCTCCTTTTTCTGTGCCAGATCCAAAGACGCAGAGGTCGGGATAGGAGGAACATGATTCCTGTCTTGTGGGCGCGTCTCTTGCGGCACAAATTGTTGCGACTGGGCTGGCCGAGGAATACCGCCATAATGCCGCACCGGGGGTGGCTTTCCACTAGGATTAACAAGAGAATTGGGCATCAGTCCAGGCCGAACAGGAATCGGGTGCGATGGCAGGCTATCGGTCGTGGTTCTTTGTAGCATTGGCGGCATGGGTGGTGCTCCAGCATCAGATCTCGACTCAGACAGATATGGAGCGTGGCCAGTCGTTGGTGGCGCGCTAGGTCCTCTCGGAGGAGCATCATTGAAGGAAATCGGTTGACCATATCCATGGTTGTAGCCTTGGCCATGACTCTGATCGTGACCCTGGTTGTAGCCCTGGTCATATCCCTGGTCATACCCTTGGTTTTGATCATACCCCTGGTCGTGTCTTTGACCATACCCCTCGTTGTTTCTTTGGTCATAGCTCTGGTTCTGATCATAGCCTTGGTCATAGCCTTGGCCATGGCCTCGGTCGCTTCTTTGGGCATGGCCCTGGTTGTTCCTCGGATCATAGCCCTGATTACTCCTTTGATCATATCCGCCTTGAAAAGGTAGGGGTGGCACAGATGGAATATCACCAGCCATTTCAAAGACTGCCGACTGTGGTTCGCGCATCTCTGCCATGGATTTGGCGTGGGCCAATCGTGGCGTATGATGCGGTCCTCTATGTGATTGTTCCTGCCGTGGTCTAGGTTGATCGTACGAGCTTCTAGCGGCATTTTGACTGGGCGCAGTCCTTGGCACATCACCTGCATTTGGGCCTTGATTATTGTGTTGCAAATCGTAGTAGTCGTCGTACACGTCTGTCACAGATACGGCCGAGTTGCTAGAGGGGCCTGCCTCGTAGCCAGGCCCGTATGGTACGTTGGATGACGGCGGCTGCTGCTGCTGCGGATATGTCCGTTGTGGCGTCGGCCTGGTGCCCGTTGTCGTTGACGGTCGTTGCGGTACGGCCCGGCCTGCAGGTCCATTGTACGGCATTGTTTCGGCGCGTTGGTGAGTCGTCTGGTTTTGTCGACTCGCATCACGGAAAGGCAGAGTCATGCTGCGTCCAGGGGGAGCAAAGCCGGTCGGAGGAGCTTGTCTAGGATTTGGCGCATGCTCATAGTCTGCATGTCCGATTGGCGCGTCGTTATAGCTTGCATAGCCGCGAGCTTGTGGCCGAGGGTTCGGCGCACCGCTGTAGCCTCCATAAGTAGGGTCTTGCTGTCTGGTATCGGGATTTTGACGAAATTGCTCCCTCGGCGGGGGCTGTCGGGCGTTTATTGGCGGACCATAGCCCTGCTGGCTAGGAGGCTGGTATTCTCGAGACTGTCCTCTAGGCGGCGGGTGTTTGATTGCAGTACCAGGCGGCCCGTAATTGCTTTGGTGTCCCTGGTTCTCCAGGCTGTGTCTTCCATTCTGACTGTTCATATCCATTGCCGCCGTGCCTGACTGCGGAGCTCAGCGTTTGGGCACGCGAACACAGCATAACAATACGAGCGGTAGGCGCTAAGGCTGCTCAAGATGCCTGGGTTGACTCGACAGGCCCGATGTGGGTGAGAGTTCACGAGTCCGGGCCGAAGCTGTAGCAGAGATGTCAAGGCATGTATTGTGATGTTGCGGGAACGATGATGCTGGCGAGGTGGGCATCTGCCATTATGTAGGGGAGATGCTGGAGTCTCTTAGTCAGCCGTGAGGATATGGTCCGTTGCGGTGGAGGGCTTGGTCGTTTATTTGGCTGCGACTGTATTCGCGTTGTAGAGTGTACACTGACTATGAATACGTTGATTTCCATCCAGCAAAGTATTTATCATGACGCAACTTGTCGTGGTCAGGATTGCGACGCGGTGTGTCTAGATGATAACTAGGAGATACGGCCGTTGTGTCAGTAGTGGGTCACGACAGGTTACCAGAAGCATTACTGGTAGGCAGTAGCTACGTTATCCGTAGCTGTTGCCTATTGCCTTTCTCCTAAGCCTTCGTCTTCACCTATTTTTGTAATTGTACTTGCCTCGATAATTTCTTTTTCGGCCTCCCCTTGTTGATACAACGCTCTGCGACGTGACAGAGGCCGCCCCCTTGCAGCATGCTGAGAGGCCGCGCCATCACGACGGGAGGCTCGTGCCAACGTCGGCTGGCCGCATCCGAGTGAATGCCTTGATGCCTTGATGTATTGGTTGTATCAAGTTTGCCCGCGGGCGTCAGAGACCTATTGCTACCCACACAGCCCCACGTTGGTTTCTGATACTGGCCCCAGTGCGCCATCCTGTCCCAGCCTTGTCTAGTAATGTCTAGTAATGTCTAGTTTAAGCAGGGGCTCACCCAAAGTTATCGTCTTGTGACTGCTCTGTACCTAATACCTACCTACCTAGTGAATGTCGCAGTAGTTAGTAGGAACAACACCAGCTGCTTGCAAAGGTTACTGATTGAGTGCGGAGGCAGCGCCTTGCTTTGTACCTAGCAGTTGGCAAGAATCAAGAGCCGCGGAATTGAAGTGTTAGCGGCAAGTTTTAAAACAGATCCGAATGAGTTGATGCTGTCACCAATGCTTTATTATGATTAGCCATGACTACAAATCACCTGTGTCGTAGGCATCATTTATTAGGCCAAAAGGTGAAGAAATCATGTACGAATTATACTCCGATATCGCCCCTCACCGGCCCACCCTGGACCAGCCGCTTTGGAGTGAATTAACAAACGCATCTCAATCATCATCCGGTCACTTCTTCGAGAACGCACATCTTCACAATGCAGTCCAGACAAGATTTCCATTTTGACCCGTTCGACCCCGACCAGGTTGAAGGTCTGCCCGATCTCCCTGATGACATTGACTGGACCAACCCCGAGCACCTCTTCAAGGTTATGGGCGGCCCCAGGCCAAAAACACCTTCGCCTGCAGAGGTGCGACGAGAGGCCACAGAGAGGTCACACGCCATTTTCTCTGCCTACGACACCCTGAGTAAGATACTACAGCGACACGAAGCTACGATTCAGAAGCGATGGGTCAAAAAGACAAAGCAGCAGAGACTGCAAGTTCTCCTCAAAGCCTGGCCTGGAATGCCGGCATCCCACCGCCCAGACTTTGAAGCCTTGCGAAAAGAGTCCAAGGAACAGAGGGAGGGCGGTACCAGATATAAGGACTACTTCATGTGGCCTCATATCAACCAGGAGGACCTCTCTCAATCAAAAGCGATGCCGTTGTTGCTCAACTCTCGGGGCCGTCACCCTCCTCCGACGTTCGCTGCAACTGACAACGAGTCTGTACACCTGGGCTTTGTTAGTAAAGCATTGGTTCCCATCTTCCTCAACCAGCATGTTATGGTTCTCAACGGGGCTACTTCGGCAGGTGGATATGGAAAACTGATCGCGTGGGACGATCACCCCGACGCCTTTGAATGGATGCATACCCGGAAACAATTTCTCCCTGGCGAGGGACTTGTGATTCTTGAGGTGCAATCTCATTTAATGAAGTTCTTGGTTGACTGCTGCCATGAGATTCTCCACGATACCCCTCCAAGCGAGCTGATTGGTGACCAATATGCCATCCAACCGGAGCCTCCCCTCAAGACAGACAACGAGGCATATGGATTTGCAGACCTGGCTGTTCTGGCTGCAGAAGCACCATATAGACTCCCAGATCAGCTGAATCTGGGGAGGCTCGAGTCTCTTCTTGAGGCCAAAATGTTGGCCGCGGAAGATCACGTTTGGGCACTTCGTGAGGACCCCGCGTACTTTGCTCACGAGTTTCTGGAAGTCAGGGATCACCGACAGGAGATGCTTAAAGACACAAAGGGACGCCCACACCCCGTAACTAACAGACTGAAGGAGCACCTTCTCTGGTCCCGGGTCACCGGAACTGTTCTTCATGATGCCTACATCAACCTCGAGACATTCACTGAGCTTCATCGACAAGCTCAGGATCTGCGCAGGCTACAGCACAAGTACAAGGCAGAAATTTCACCGCAAAAAGAGTTGCCAGAAGAGTATATGGTTGCGTTGCTCCGGTTCAGGTACTACCTCGAAACTACCGCAAAGAGCCCCTTACAGAGGCTAAAAATGGCCGGCCTGTCCTCACCACCAATGCACAAGTTCTTCGTCCGTAATCCCCCGGCCGATCCCAATTCGACAATGATTGAGGTCACGTCCAAGATCGGCGTAAAGTACAACAAGGTCGAAGAGCAGCTGATCTGGCTCCTAAGGAGTTTGTGGGAAGACAACTACAACCTCTTCCTGATTCGCCTCCCTAACGTCATGGACGAGCTCGAGAGGCTCTTGCAGTCAAGCCCCGAAGCGGATGCGTTGATATCGGCACACATTATAAAGATCATTGGTGATCTTTCCATAATTGCCCAGTGCTCGCAACAATTAGAGCTCTACCAGCCATGGGCCCAGACGTATACTTCGGCCTCCTTGGATCATGTCGAGGATTTCAAAGCGGATCACGAGAAATGGGGAAAACCCTGGACACGGCTCTCTCCTGCCATCCGGGAGTTGAATATAGCCAGCGCTGGGCGACTGGCCGAGCCTTCTGGTGGCAAGTTTGCCTACCCCGTCGGCAAGCGCGCCACGAAGGAGAATGTGGATGCGCTACGGAGGGCAGAGGCCAATCTGGATGCCGTTTGGCAAAGTCTTGACGAACAACTACGGTCCAAAGCACCAGAGCTCGGAGGCACGGCCGTATATCGCTTCCTTGCCAAGCCACGCATGTTGCGGAGGACCGCCGAATGGGTGGAACCGATAGAGTCGACGACGGACAAAAAGGTCGCTCAACCTGAAATTGCCACTTTGAACCAGCCATTCTCGAATCTGTTTGTGGATCATTCAGAAGATAGACATCAGGAGCTAAAGACTCAGCCCAAGGCCAAGGCCAAGACCAAGGGTGTCTCGGCCGCACAGCCTAGTGCAACGCCTGATGTTCCCAAGGCTGACGAAGCGGATGCCCAGCCCACATTCTACGTCGATGCTCGTACGCTCAAAGTATTCCGCACCATTTTCTTCAATCCCGCGGTGTCGTCGACGCCCGGGTCGGTTGTGTGGAATGACTTTCTCCACGCCATGGTGGCTACGGGCTTCCGAGCAGAAAAGCTCTATGGCTCTGTCTGGCAGTTTTCGCCGACGAGACTGGATGTGGAGAGGAGCATTCACTTCCACGAGCCGCATCCCAAGGGCAAAATTCCATTCGAGGTGGCGAGACGGCATGGGAGACGTCTGACGAGAGCGTATGGCTGGTTTGGAGGCATGTTTGTCCTAAAAGACCAGTGATGTAGATGCTCTTCTTAGACTGTGTAGGGCCATCGGAGATGTGCTCATTCTTGTGCGCTGTGTCTGTCAGTATAGCGCTGGTGGAGATGACACTGAAAACGCTCCCCGTCGTGAAGCGCCAAACAAGACTCTCGGAGCGACAATGCCACTGACGCAGGCCGGCATTGACAGCGACTGGCGTCAAACACGGTAACCTAGGACAACTTGTGTATATCACTATCTGTTGGCAAAAAATTGGATATGTACGAATCTAAATGGGACTAATGGAGTATTGGATTTTGTTGCATGAAGTGACTTGATTCTTACCGAGCATCCCGCGCCCACGGAGGCAAGGGGTGATGGTCAGATCCCATGCCGGGTGAACGGTGAAACTTCGTCTTAGGTCTGGGACACGGGTTGTCCCGAAAGGAGACGCAGCCCACCTATGCTTAAAACCCCTGCTCATATTGCACATTCCTTTCAACACACTGTACATTGCCTAGACGACATGGCGTCGCTAACTAAAGGGCAACTCCATTCTCTCCATTCTGTGACTCCGTCGTCGCCGAACGCCACGTCAGCCTCGATCGAATCCCCAGAAACCAATTGCCGGAGCCAATTCCACAATTTGTATTCCAAATCGGTGTCGAGTTGATTGAATGTTTGGGCTTGTTTCATTCAGTCGCCACGCTGGGTTATGCAGAGGTTTTGGACGAGACGTCGGCTGAGCACAAGCTTTCTATGCATCATGCAATAAACACAAGAGCGAAAAAGAAAGTTTCCATTAGGCATAGCCAGATGCTTGGTTGAACCGTCTGTCGCCGCATTCTTCTCAATAATATTCTCTATACTCTAGCCTGTTTCTGTGCCGCCGTCCGCGCCGATCAGCAGGACGGGCCTGGTCTGAGTCTTAGTCACGATACCCACCAAATCAAACTGATTAGAAAATCACAACAAAAAAGAACAAAAAACATACAGCAGCCGGTGTTCGCTGGTCGTCACCGACCCAACTACTAATCTGCCGGTCAGTAGCTTGATTGCTGCGGAGCAGACGGGACGCGATATTTTCTACTGCCTATGGCCGTATGTATCAGTTTGACGTCAAGATCAGGTTATATAGCCACACTGCTTAAAGTTAGACACCACCGAATCTTAGCATAGTAAGCACTTAGTGATGTATTATATATCCCCATGTTTCCCTAAGGAGAGGAAATATAGTAGGAAATATAGTTAATAGTTAAGGTTGAGAAGATTATATTTACTCTGTATCTTCTAGAGCTAACTACTTTGAAGGCTGGTAAACCAAGCTGTACATACGCGGGAGGGGGCCCTCCGTCTGTCAATTCCGTACTCCAGGAAATTGTCCGGATTTTTTAAGCTGCGTCCACTGCGTTAGTAAATCATCAAGACAATAGGTCAAAGTAAGTACTAACGTCGGTGCAGCCAAGCTCGCAAGTAGGGAATATTTGGCCAGGTTTCAACATGCAGCAACCATCATACTTGGGCTCATCAGCAGTACTACAGTCGACGAGCATTTTCCATTGCTTAACGCCTGCGTCATCGTACGTGCACTGGTAGATTGCATTGTCTGGGCCGGGAGCGCCGCCCTTGTTGCCGCATTGTGCCTGACAATAATTTTCCGGCAACATATCCCTCCCGCATATGCACTGGGCACCTCTGTTCGTCATATTGCAGCACTTTGGTCCGCCGCAATCGATTCTGTGCTCCCAGACGAGACCGCCTTTCCCATCGGGGTTGCAATCATAGATGACACCGCCGTCTTCGCCAGCGCCGCAGGCGGTCGCCAGTTCGTGTTCGCATGAATTTGGCTCATCCTTGGCTGCAACGCGAAAGACGGCGAGTGCGGCGATAATAGCGAGGGTCTTGGTCAAGTACATGGTGGTTGTTGGTTGGAATCGAACCGAGTTGCTGTTGACGGGTGGTTCTCGATGAGTAAAGAGAGTTGATAATGATTCGCACGGTAGGAAGAAATTAAAGGGAACTCTTGGACTTTAAATATTATTATTTTTGGCTCGTCAAGTATAACGACGCCAATTTTTGCACTTTCCTTGTATAACAAAAGAGCTGTCTGATGAGTTACTTCTTTTACCCTTGTATGTACTGTGAAATCCTTGGCGACACTATCTTAGCGTTTAAGGAATAAAGGTAGCGACACGCGCTGTATCTTGGCATCTTGAGCAAGACAGAATAAGCCATCACACTACTTTACTTGCCGCCTTTTCTTGGTTCCGAAACGGCGCGGGCTGGCGATACGCCGTGTCGTCGGTGCGTGCCACCGCCCGCCATCTCGCGATGCGACCTCATAAGACGAAGCGTCTACTTCCTCTGCCCGGGTCAAAGAAAGCGCTATGAGGGGGCTTTTCCAGTAGGACTGGGTTCTTGGTGTTTGCGTAGTATGCGCGCTTCTCTGGCACGACAACCTCGCCTGCGCCAAGCCACCACAACGAGTTCATCAGTCACCATTTTACAACAAAAATATATTTCATCGAAGAAAAGCAAGGAAAATTCTACCGCACATTAGGACCAATCTTGGGAAAAAAAAGCATAATTGCATGCTGACGAACCGGCGTCGATCCCCCACACAGAACAAATCAGCGGGCTACATGTAACGCTTGCACAGAACTAACTTTTGGCCAATGGTTGCGCCCACATTTGCCATTAATCATCTTCACCATTCTCATTTGCCTTTGTGTGTACACTGCCACGCGCGACCTGTACTGCAATTTGGCGAGATTAAATATAAAAGAGAAAAGGGAATACCGGAACCCTTGCGACAAACAGAGGATGGCGTCCGCCCCGCAAAGCAACGGCTATACAGCCAAGCCTGTGACAATTGCTGTCGTCGGCGCTGGCAGCCGTGGCACCGTGAGCTCTTCCCCGCATTACAGATTCGCTTGCGCATCAAAAGCTCACCGTTCGATTCCATTAGACGTATGCCGCCTACGCTCTCGAGAACCCAGGGCTGGCCCGGGTCGTGGCCGTGGCCGAGCCCAGCAGACACCGATGCAGTGTCTTTTCGCGCAAGCACAGGCAAGTCGAGCACGCCCTCCACGGCCCGTCGCGCATCACTAACAATGCTTCCTCGGCAGCATCTCTGAAGACTTGCAGTTTTCAAATTGGAAGGGTCTCAAAGCCAAGGGCAGAATTGCAGACGCTGTCATCATCGCTGTCCAGGTAAACGGCGCGAGTTGGGCATCATCGCAGCAACGACTTACACGGCGCAGGACCACCAACACGTCGAAGCGGTTGAGGACTTTGCCGAGCTGGGATATCACATTCTGTGTGAAAAGCCCATGGCGACCTCGGTCGCCGACTGCGTCAAGATCCGCAACCTGGCGCAGGCCACGTCGCCCAACGTATTCGGCATGGGCCATGGTATGCACCCGCCCGCCCCAGGATGCCTCGGTCATTCCACTTATGCGTACCTCTGCAGTCCTCCGCTACTCGCCATACAACCGGGCCGTCAAGGACATCATTGACTCTGGCGCCCTCGGCGAAATCGTCAACATCCAGCACATTGAGCCGGTCGGGAACCAGCATTTCGCGCACTCATACGTGCGTGGCAACTGGCACAAGGAGGCTGATTCCTCGTTTGCGCTCATGACGAAATCTTGCCAGTAAGATTTTTGCGGAAGTGCCAGCATTCATCATGTGGGCAAACTGACCGCTGCAGCGACATTGACATTGTCAACTTTTACCTCTCCGGGCTCACGCCCACCAAAGTCCATTCCTTCGGCTCCCTCCGCCACTTTAAAAAGTCGCAGAAACCTGTCGAGGCCGGATCGGCCAAGCGCTGTCTCGAGTGCCCGCACGAGCAGGACTGCGTGTGGAGCGCCAAAAAGATTTATATCGATACCCTGCAAGGAGATGTTGAAAAGGTGACTATCCCGGACTTCATTCCCTCATGCCGTGGCTAATATTTTGTAACAGTGGGCCAGGCATTTCGTAGATTCCGAGGTTCTCGACATTGAAAACGTGACCGAGGCACTCAACAGAACCAACTACGGCACCTGCGTGTACGAGGGCGAGAATGACGTCGTGGACCACCAAATTGTAAACATCGAGTACGAAGGCGGTATCACGGCCAGCGTCACCATGTCTGCCTGTAAGAGGCCAAACCCGGAATGCATAGACCCTTCTGACAACCACAGTCACCGAGTCCGTCTGCCAGCGCGGCACACGCATCCAGGGCACCAAAGGCGAATTGATTGGTGACATGACTACTTTTGTACGCTTGTCATTCATCGTCCCCCGGAACTACACGCTAACCACTCGCAGGATGTCTTTGACTTTCTTACCCGAACCAGCAAGCACCACACGCCCAAGCTCGACGGCGGCTATCACGGCGGCGGCGACACCGGCCTCGCGCGCGCCTTTGTCAGTGCTGTCGCCGAGGGCAAACAGAGCGTGCTCCACGTCACGATTGACGATATTTTGGACTCGCACTTGCTCGTCTTTGCGGCTGAAAAGGCGCGCAAAGAGAGCTGCGTTGTGGACTTTGGTCACTTCAAACAGGCCAGTCTCGGTCTCAAGGCGTAAGCGCTCTTTTGCAGGATGCCAGTTCAATCAACTTTATATATTCAACTTGGCAAAGCGCCTCGAAGCAATCTACAGCTATACTGTCTAGGCAGTTTTGACACAGTCCGACTCAAAAGTCTTCCTCAATGCGGCTCTGTACTAAACAGACAGCGGGTGGCTGAAGAGACGGCTTGGGTCATACTTGGCCTTGATCGCCCGCAACTTGTCCAGATGCTCCCCGTAGAAACTAGCCATCATATCGCGGCCGTGATTGGCCTCGTCGTAGTCGTCGTCGCCCAGGTATCCGCCCTTGGTGAGCGGGTAGAAGAGCTCATACGCCTGGTTCAGCCACGGCAGGCGGCGCTTCGCCTCCGCCTCTGTTTCGGCGCCGTACTCTGCAACCGGGAGCCAGACCGACATGCCCATCAGCCAGGGACAGCCGCGGATTTTAATCGACGTCGTGTCCGGGCTCGGAATCCGCTCGGGGTCGAGGCCGAGCAGCTGCACGCGGACGCCGGACCGGGGCTGCGTCTGGCCAAACGCGGCGAGCTTGACGAGGAAGTCGTCGGGCAGCAGGGTGGGCACGAAGCCGGCCTTGATCTTCATGAAGCGCTTGTGCTCGCTCCCCTCGCGCTTGAGGTCCCTGAGATCCGCGTACCACGGCGCCGAGGTCTGCGTGGTACCAATGTCGGCCACCGTGTCGATCAGGTCGCGCGGGGTCAGGCTCGACGTGTCGGCTGCGGGGAGGGTGTCCGTGAGCGCTTTCCAGGTTGCGTCCAGCTTAGCGGCCGAGTCTTCGAGGATGACGCCGGCAATTTCGAGGACGCCCAGCCAGATGATTACCATGGGGTTGACGGTGAGCGGCGAGGCCACCGACGCGTCGTGCAGCTTCTTCAGGATGTCCGGGATGTCCTGGCGGTCCAGGCTCCAGCGGAGCGAAAAGACGGCGACGCCCTCGACGGGCGCGTCGTTGGTGCGCAACGTGACGCTGGTGATGACGCCAAAGGAGCCCGTGCCGGCGCCGCGAATCGCGAAGAAGAGGTCGGCGTTTTCCTTGTCGCTCGCCGTCCGCACCCGGCCGTCGGGCGTCACGACCTCGACGCTGAGCACGCGGTCCGTCAGGGTGCCGTAGGTGCGCGTGTAGAAGCCGTAGCCGCCGCACTGGATCTGGCCGGCGAGCCCGACGGTCGGGCACGTGCCCATGGGAAGCATCTTGCGGCCGTGCTGCCAGGCGTACAGGGCCACCTGGCCGAGCAGGCAGCCGCCTCCCGCAGTGATGGTGTCGCGGGCCGGGTCCGACGTGAGGGTGTCGAGCTGGACCGTGTCAATGACAAACGCGCCGTCGGCGCCGCCCAGCCCGAGCGCCTCGAACGAGTGGCCGCCGCCGCGGACGGTCACGCGGGGGATGCCGGCGCGGCGGATGGCTTGGACGACACGCGCCACCTCGGCCGTGCTCTTGGGGATGGCCACGCCGATGGGCTTGCGGTCTGTGTAGGTGTTCCAGGTCGCAATGTGCTCGTCGTAGCCGTCGTCGCCGATGAGAAAGACGGGAATGTCGCCCAGGGCCTTTTTCAACTCTTTGGTGTTTGCCATGTTGTAGGGGGAGATAGGTTTTGCAATTCTGTGTGAAGCTAGATGATGACTTATTCTGAAAATGAATTATTTCTTGACCTTCTGGCACTCTTGTAATATATATAGCTACGCGCATGGTAGGAAATAGGCCCGTGTTGGACTTGTAGGAATAGGTCGAGGGCATTCCGAATTTTTCGGGATGTGTAGGAAGTACCGAATTTGGCAGCACAGATCTGGCAACACACCGAATTTGAGTCAAGTCAAAGCATAGTCACGTCTCAGAGACTTTTCCTCAACTTGTAAAGAAAGAATGCCAGACAAGTACGCAAATGTCCGCGGTTTCAAAGCCCGCGGACTTGCCTCCGGCATGGGACGGGCATCAATGTCGGAAGGTGGAGCACCGGGCGATCGCCGATAGAAATCACCGTGCAAGGACCCGACTGGCGACTAATCTCGATGGAGACTGATGCGGGAATGCTTGCCGATCAAGGTTTGGCGGAATTACCGGCCGTTGTCGCATGTCACACCGATGCGGTCAAATTGTCGCTAGCATCTGGTTTGCATGACGTGGCGTAGCCGTAGTACATCTTCATACTCCTCCGTCAACTTGGAGCTCTCTCGTAATGTTTGCGATAGAATCCGGGCGCCGTCCACTGTGAATCTCCTTTTGACGCTTTCCAAGCATGTCTCATCATCGATGTTCGCAGAAAGCGATGTTTCATGGTCTTTATAGTAGTCGTCCAAGTTTTCTGCAATCACGAAGACGCTTCTTCTCCATGGAAAGTCCCCGGTCCCCTGGCCCTGTATTTCCTCCACTATTGAGAACGATGCAAGTAGAGGGCAGCGGCATCGAAGTTGTCTTTGTCTATGCCGGGAAGATTGCAAAGAGAGTTTCTGCTGGTGGACATGATGGGCAGTCGGGATGTGTATGCCCTGTGCAGAGGAACACTCAAGATAAGCAAAAGAGGAGACCGCCATTTTGTAGCTCAAATGTTCTATTTCGCATCTGATGGAATCATCCTTCGTCCTTCTCAACGAATTGCCAAGATGCATATTGAACAGCCACGGGCTGTCCAAAATTGGCGACCTGCATCAGCAGAGCCTAGTGACCAGTCAGCCAGCCAGCCAGTGTTTGCCATGGACCAACAGATGTCGGGCACTAGAGGGTCAGTCAAAATCAAGATTGGCCTTCTCCACATGGAGAACAACGGCATATTCAAGCTCGCCGCCGAGTACCGAGACGCAAGCGTGCTGCATACCGACATACGTCATCAGCGCCGCGACACGCACCCGCAAGATCGGGACTATTTCCAGGCGCGTTTGCAGACCACGAGCGGCTCGTCAAGTTCAACAACCGCGCGACCAGAGAGGGTGGCGGCCTTCCTTTCCTGCCTTTGGCCATTCGGTCTGCAGAGACGGCGCCAAGAAGGACGAAGATGGGTGAGAGCAGGTTTGTGACAGGCGCTTTATTCACGTGACCGACGCGTCCGTTTTCTAGCTGTTTTGCAGTTCCGTACCCCAAGTGCTTTGGGGAACTTGCCATTTGCTTTGCTAGAATGAATACACCCACTGATGATTTTTCAATGCCATTGGACCTCCAGGCCGTGGCAAATCGTCTCGAGGAAGTCACACCTGAAGCTCAGTTTCGCAACGAAGCCACGCACTCGTCAAAATGGTTCTGCTCGATCGAGCACAGCGCCCTCACTACGAAGACAATCACCGAACGCCGCTCGACCATCAAAAACAGCGACTATTGGAAACAAGAGGCAATTCATTACAAAACTGTTTTTGCCAATGTGGTATTTGATATACTCCTAGAGCAATGCACGACGGACAGCACGACCAGCAGCGATAGCGCCAACTGCATTGATTGGCAAAAAATGACAGACCTCTACAAGCGACGTTTTGCGCGTCAGGGCCTTGATGCAGAAGAGTTTGAGAAACACCGCCGCTCTATAGAGACTGAAGAATATTGGAGGCACGAGGCGGAGAGTCTCAAGAGCTTCGCCGGAGTAGACGAGGAGAACCTGTATGCTCGGCTTCGGGCACCAGCAGCCAATCGCCGGCACAAAGTCAATTCGCCTGAAACTAAGGGACTGCGTCCATCTCAGAGGACCCGACGTTCACGAGGGGGGAAACGTAACAACACCAAACGGCGGCGCTAAAAGACGGCGCTAACTGCACCAATCACAGGTGCACCAGACGGTGTTTCCATCAATACAATATGCCTACGGCTGCCATCGCATCTTTCTGATCTTGCCGACAGAATCATGAGAATAAGTTACAAATAATGGCACAATTAAGTAGTCTTGCCAATGTTGTCATACTTTTCGCGATCATCCAGACTCCTCCAGGCACCGTTATTCGTACGCTCTGACAACGTCAGGTTTCTCTTCATACCTCCCCAGGAGATCCACGACGGCGTTGCGGGAGATGGGAAGGTGGACAGGTGGAAAATTTCACTGACGTTCTTGTCAGCTCCAGCCGACGATTGCGACTTCAGACTGGCAGAGAACAACCAGGCTGGAATCAGCAGGTCTCACTTCTGCCTCGACATCAGCCTGAGGAATCGCCCTAGGATCACCAGCTTGTTCAGGAATCAAATCCATGTGCACTGCTCGGGATAGACGGATGTAGTCGTTCTCCAGAAAGACGACCAGGTTGATATTGAAGACATCGTTCTTGTCGACCTTGGAGTGGCCTCACTACAAATTTGGCGGCCAAATTTGACACGGGAGGAAGAGCTTACAGTACAGAACACATGCAGAAGCGTTTCACTTGGACTACATGCAGGAGTACTTACGCTGGACCTCAAATTCGACTTGGTCAAGCCGTACACCGCAAAGTTGGCAACCAGCAACCACGTAGTGGGACTTTCGGGTCAGTGATCAAGGTTCCAAAACTCAAACAACGGGAGACTTTTGCCGCCAAGATTCCTCACCTTCCTAGGCGTCGTTCGGCGGATGCGGATCAAGTGCAATGGGCGATGATTCACACGAAGTTTCACAAGCTTATGAGACTGCAGCATGAGTTGGCGTCTGACATGGATGCGGGTACAAGGACGGCGCTTCCAAACCTCGGTGCGTACATTGTGCGAGTCAGCGTCTCTGGTGCAGTGACATCTTTGACAGAGGGTTGGGCTGCAGGCAAGATTGAACTTGTGCTCGCACGGTAGCGCCTGCATCGGTAGCCTGCATGAAATGCGCCGGGTGGCCACGTGGTATCTATTGCAGCTTGCCTTTTGCGTAGCGGCGAGATGGTATTTCCAGACGCCAAAGACTGAGCTTCGATCGCTGGGTGAAGGCCGACGACAAGAACAAATCCGGACAGTATCTACATGTATTTGCGCCTAGTAGAAACGGCGTCGAACAGCAGTTGGGCATGGGTGTGCTGATTTCCTGTGATGGTATCACATGTACCATGGTACTCGAGTTATACTGCACAACTTGCAGAACAGTAGTGGCCGACAAAAGCTGACAGCCACACATACGGGCTTATTGGGGCGACGGTCGCAAGACGTCGTTTCTCCGTGTTGAGCCAATCCGTTACGGTTGCACATTGAGGTGAATTCGTCGAAAATGGCAACAAGAAAAAAGAAACATGACGACAAAGTAGAGAATAAAAAAAGACGAAGGAACGCTGTACGACGCAGACTAATAAACACGCCAAGACACAAGTCAGGTACTAGCCGCAAATCGGGCACATGAACATGGGATCGGTGCGACATGCAAGGAGCTTAAACTATAATCTGGTTTGAAAAAGCTTGGCAACAGGGCAAAGCTGGAGAGGAGAAGAAAAGACAACTCCTCGGAGGAACAGGGTGATGGGGGAGTCGAGGGAAGCAACATGGCAAGGCTGTTCGGCGACCGTCTGGGGGGGGCAGTCAGCTTCCGGGGGGATCTCGTGGCCTCTGGGAAATTTTTAAAAGAGGGACGAGACGAATCGGAAGAGGGCAGCAATCAAAGGAAAGGGTATTTGAAAAATGTGAGAGAGGCATTTAATTTTGGGAACGTCTTCCGCGACGCCGCTAGCATCGATCCAGCTACAGCGACGCCACTTTTCATCACAGCCTCGATGAGCCAGGTTAGTTTATTTTGGACTTGTGTTTGTGCGGATGTTGCTGACTCTGTCCTGAGAACGAGAACAAGACGAGACGAAGTAACGAACCACCAGTAGGTGAAGGAGTGTTGCTGCTGGCGTGTCAACAAGGAACACTTGCTCTCGACTCGTGTACAAGTAACTAAACTAAGCAACAACAGTCGGATAGTTTTCGTCTCAGACCACATGAAAGCGGCGGTTCGCAACACGACATCCAACCACGCCCCCTCTCTTCCCGCCATCCCAGTTGTTGCCAATCGACGACAAGGCTTGGCTTGTGGGAACGGGTGACGCTGCCGAAAGGGTCTAGCAATGGCGTTGTTGGCCCCTTGCCACGTTATGACATCAGACATCAGACCGCTGGCTGTTGTTGCTGATGGCATGGGTTGTTATTCTCTTTGATGGCATCCTGTCTCTCGTCGCCCAAGGCGTAGAGCTCGTTGCAGCGACGCAACCGCAGGTACGCTGCAGGTGAGACAATGATTCTGCAACAGCGCGTTCGGCTCACAATAGACTGAACACAGTACGATACACAATAGTCGCAAAACAAAACGGGGGCCAGAAATTCCCTCAACGCAGCCATGCCAGAACAAGAAGGCACGCCCAAGCACTGCCCGCCCGCGGCTACACGGCATGCCGCTCACAGACTCCACGACCATCGAGCCTCGTGAAGAAGAAGAAGAGACCCGAGGCAGCCCGCCACACTAGTTACTGCTAGCTTCTGACATGGCCGCCTCGCCGATCCAACGCCAATACGGCATCCGCCAGCCGACGGGCGGTCACCACAGGGCTTTCTTTTCGCACTCTGGCCGCAAGCTGTCGGCGAGGACCAGAGCCACTCGTTCTCGTCCCCTCCTACGGAGTACACAGTCCAGAGATGACATTCGGCTGCAATCCAACCCACGCCACGCGCCCTGCGTCTTGGCTCGTTTGGGTGGTATGGAGCTCCTTACAAAAGAAGGGATTTTTTTTTGGTTTTCTTGACCTTGCCTCTGTCTGCCCGTGCCTTTGCTCCTTTCCTAAACGGGCAAACGCCAACGTAATAGGAGGGCTGTGGTTGGTTGTTCCTCCATAACCGCGCCGAGCTCCCAGATATATGGCCGTCTGTTAGCGAGGTTCGACTTTGTCCATCCCCAAAAGCTTCATTGCCACCCCCCAGATGGCCCGCTCATCCTATCCCTCTCTGCACGCCGCTCAGCCAGGGGACAATGCCATGTCGCAGTTCCGCGGCGGCCTAGAGTCCTCCTGGCTCCCCCCCCTTCCTATCCAGCTCATGCGTGATATAGTAGAGAAAATTTCCTTGCCGTCATATAAATACAACTACATGCAAGATACTCAGGAAAAGAGGCTCCCACTGTTCCATTTTCACTGCCACACTTTGTCCGACCAGCCCTCCTCTTCCCTCCCTTGCCTGCCTCGTTGACCAATACCGCTCTTCAGAGACCATACCTCATCGCTGCTCTGCATTAGTCTTGTCTCTACTTGCAGTCGCAAAAATCCCTCTTTACCTTCTCTTTCCGTCTCTGTCTCGTCAACGACACCCTGTTTGTATTGTTGTACCAGTACCAAAAAGTACATAAACAAACACACCACCAACCTGCCATGCCTGAAGAAGCCGTCCCTGAAGCGGCCGAAAAGGACGCCACCGCCGCCGAACGAGACACGCGCATCACCTTTCACGATGCTGACCACCCTCGTCTCACCCGCGGCCGATCCGAAGCCCTCGACGGCCGCGGCCGCGACGAGACCTCGCGCTCCCGCTCCCGCGGCGGCCAGCCCCGGCGCTCCTTGAGCCGGGGCTCCAACCTGTCCCGCCGCTCCGAGCTCCCCTCGTCGCCCTACACGGGTATCCAGATCGAATACCGCACGCTGTCCATCAACGTGGCCGAGTCGCGCGCCATCGACACGGAGGAGACCTCGGCCGACCTCAAAGCGGCGGCGGCAGCGACCGGTGTCGCAAAGGACAAGGCCGACCAGGACTACTTTGCGCAGCTCACCTACCACCACCTCTCAACGGACCAGATCACGCAGCAGCTCAACGTGTCGCGCCGCGACGGCCTGTCGGCGAGCATGGCCGCGCACCGGCAGCAGCGCGACGGCCTCAACACGCTGCCGCGCGCAAAGACCAACTACTGGAAAAAGGTGCTCGGCTACGTCTTTGGCGGCTTCTGCTCGGTGCTCTGGGTCGGCGTCGTCATCTTCTTCCTCTGCTGGCGGCCGCTCAGCAGCCCGCCGTCGATTGTGAACCTGGCCCTCGCCATCCTCGTGCTGATTGTGATTGCGCTGCAGGCCGGCTTCTCCGCCTTCCAGGACTGGTCCACGCAGCGCACCATGAAGTCCATCACGGACCTGCTGCCGGCCGAGGCGCTCGTGGTGCGCGACGGCCAGACGGTCCGGATCGCCGCCGCGGAGCTCGTCGCCGGCGACATTGTGCAGCTGCAGATTGGCAACAAGGTGCCGGCCGACCTGCGCATCCTGAGCCACTCGGGCGACATCCGCTTCGACCGGTCCGTGCTCACCGGCGAGTCGGACGAGGTCGAGGGCGCCGTCGACGGCACCGACCCGTCCTTCCTCGAGAGCCGCAACATTGCCCTCATGGGCACGCTCGTCGTCAACGGCAGCGGCGTCGGCGTCGTCGTCCTCACCGGCGCGCGCTCCGTCATGGGCCGCATCGCCCGCGCCACCGCCTCGACCAAGGAGCGCCCGACGCTCATCCAGCGCGAGATTTCGCGCTTCGTCGGCATCATCGTCGCCCTCACCGTCGTCCTCGCGCTGCTGATCCTGCTCACCTGGGTCGGCTGGCTGCGGCGCGACCACCCGTCGTACATGAACGTCGTGGCCATGCTCAACAACGTCATGGGCTGCGTCGTAGCCTTTATCCCCGAGGGCATGCCCGTCGGCGTCGCCCTCACCCTCATGATGGTCGCCCGCCGCATGAAGGCCGTCAACGTCCTGCCCAAGGGCCTCTCGACGGTCGAGACGCTCGGCTGCGTGAATGTCATTTGCTCGGACAAGACGGGCACGCTGACGCAAAACGAGATGCACGTCAACTCGGCCGCCTTTGTCGACCAGCCGATCTCGGTGACGGAAATCCAGAGCAACGTCGACAGCGAGACGCCCGACGCCTGCAACCGCAGGCTCATGCAGGCCGCGCTCCTCTGCAACGACGCCGCGTTTGACCCGTCCACCATGGGCCTCCCCGTCGCCGCGCGCCAGGTCCAGGGCAACGCCACGGACGCGGCGGTGCTCAAGTTCGCCGCGGCGACGCGGCAGAGCGAGGCCGAGGCGGACCGGCTGCCGCGCGTGTTCCAGATCCCGTTCAACTCCAAGAACAAGTACATGGTGACGGTGCACGCCGACGGCGAGAAGCCGGCCGGCGAGTACCGCGTCTTCGTCAAGGGCGCGCCCGACGTGCTGCTGCCGGCCTGCACGGCGTACTGGTCGCGGCAGGCCGACGCCGTCGTGCCGCTCGACGCGGCCGCCACGCGCGCCTTCAAGGAGTACCAGGACGCGCTCTCGCGCAACGCCGAGCGCGTCATCGTGCTGTGCGAAAAGACGGTCACGCCCGTGCACGCCGTCAGCACCAACGCCTTTAGCGACGAGATGGCGGCCGCCGCGACGAGCGGGCTCGCCGTGGTCGGCATCCTCGGCATCATCGACCCGCCGCGGCCGGAGACGGCGGCCACGGTGCGCGAGTGCCGCCGCGCCGGCGCCCGCTTCTTCATGGTCACGGGCGACTACGGCCTCACCGCGGCCGCGATTGCCCGCAACACGGGCATCTTCACCGGCGAGCGCGACCCGGACACGGCGGCGCGCATCCAGTCCAAGCTCGGCCCGTCGTCGACGGAGCTGCGCGCCGCGCGCGCGGCCGGCGAGGTGCGCAGCCTGCTGCTCGAGGGCCACGCGCTGGCGGGGCTCGCGGGCGACGACTGGGACGTGGTGTGCGAGTACGGCGAGATTGTGTTTGCGCGCACGACGCCGGAGCAGAAGCTGCGCATCGTCGAGGAGTTCCGGAAGCGCGACAACGTGGTGGCGGTGACGGGCGACGGGGTCAACGACGCGCCGGCGCTGCGGGCGGCCGACGTGGGCGTCGCCGTCGTGACGGGCAGCGACGTGGCGATTGAGGCGGCCGACCTGGTGCTGCTGGACAAGTTCGACTCCATCATCGAGGCGATCCGGCTGGGGCGGCTCGTGTTCCAGAACCTGCAAAAGGTGATTGCGTACCTGCTGCCGGCGGGCAGCTGGTCCGAGATCTGGCCGGTGCTGCTCAACGTCTTCTTCGGGGTGCCGCTGCCGCTGAGCTCGTTCCTCATGATCATCGTGTGCGTCTTCACGGACCTGTTCCTGTCGCTGTCGCTCATCATGGAGAAGGAGGAGTTTGACCTGCTGTCGCTGCCGCCGCGCGACCACCGGCGCGACCACCTCATCACCCTGCGCATCTACATCCAGGCCTACCTCTTCACCGGCTTCATGGAGACGACGATTGCGCACGCCATGTTCTTCCTCTACTACTGGCGGCAGGCGCGCATTCCCGTCCGCGAGCTGTTCTTCCTCTTCGAGGGCTACACGGACGGCTTCCACGGCTTCTCCCAGGACGAGCTCGCCCACCTCAACGCCGTCGGCCAGAGCATCTACTTTGTCACGCTGGTGATTCTGCAATGGGGCAACGTTCTCTCGGTGCGCAACCGTCGCCTCAGCATCTTCCAGGCCGATCCCTTTACCGCCAAGCGCCGCAATCCGTGGCTGATGGTCAGCATCCTCATCTCTCTGGCCATTGCCATCTTTGTCACCGAAGTGCCTGGGATCCAGACTCTGTTTGGTACTGCCTCGGTTCCGATTGAGTTTTGGTTAATTCCTATTCCCTTGGCCCTGGGTATTCTAGCCATGGATGAGATTCGCAAGTTGGTCGTCCGCGTCTTTCCCAACGGACCCATTGCAAAGATTGCGTGGTAACGATTTATTTTATCTTTTTTAATACTCGGTTTTGCTTGCATTTAGATGGTCCCATCTATTTCTATTGACAGTTCCTTTGTTATCCCATTCGACAAATGACATATGCGTGGCACGAGCGAGCGAATATTGCTTGACGGTTTCTTACCCTAGAGTTGTAGAATACACTGAATAAATTACACATAATCTTGATAGACCGTCTATGCAATTCTACACAGAATATACTGCGCTTCTCTACATGCTTTGGCACCTCCTTTTGGTACATCCTTGGTACAGGCTTCAGTACACCAAGTTCCCTGGCTGTCCTGACCAACGGCGACGCCACCATATAGCCAAGCCTGTCCATCGCGCCCAATTCCACGATCGACAGCCACCCGTCCTTCGTGCCCATGCGGCCAAGTTCCGGGACGAGGGTTTAGGGTTCGGCTTCCCAAGTGCAAGCCGCATCGGCGCCGATAAACCCCAAGTTGCACGCGGACGCGCATGATTCAAGAAAAGCTTCAACAAAAAGAGAGACTGACGTATGCCTCTCTATCCCCCCCCGGCCGGCAAGAGGGAAAAAAAAAAGGCGAAAGAGGGTCTCGGCCCCCGTCAATTTAGGCCTTTGAAACTTGTTCTGCAAATCATTCCTCTTTGGCGCTCTACAAAGCGTAGCATTTTACCGCCAAATTAGTCTCATTTCTTAGCCTCGGAGAGGAGGGGGGCGTGTCTTGTGTTTTTTTTTTCCTCCGCATCCTATTTTAGCTTCCAGAGACAAGATAAAAAAATGGATATCAGTGGCGCAGTGTCGATCGACAGGGCCTGCGGTATTGTCAGTCAACAGTGGAACAACGCGCGCGGGAGAGTCAATAGGGGGTCAGGATGCCGGGGCTGACCGCGGGCGAGTTGCAAGTATTTGCACAGACATTGGAATGGGCCAATCGGTCGGGATTGTTCATCTTGGATCCTTGGCATGTAAAAAAACCTACATAGAGATTGAGTGCATCTACTCCTTGGCAAGGGCTTGTCGGGCTTGTCGGGCTTGTCAAGGGCTTGTCAAACCGTTGTCAAGTGGCTCTCTGGCGTCGCCTGTTTTGGCCAAGAAGAGTTAGAAATAATGCTTCTGAGGTTGAGCTTGAGACGAACGCCCGCGTGCAGCACCACCAGGGGGTGTGTCACAAATCATGCCATACTACACGTATCTGCGCTGCCGCGTCACTGGTCCTGAACCAGATGAGTCGGTCCCAGATGCAGGTCCTTATTCATCACCCTAACAATTCGCCTCGCTGTGCCGCGACTGCCGGCTTGTGGCAGCTACGTGCCGTTATCCTCGATGCGTGCGTGTGCCTGCCCTCAACTGGGGCGTTTATCCGGCATTTGCGTGGCGTTTTTGGCGCCATCCTTTTTCTGCTGCCACCAGTGTACGACACGGAAGGTTCCGTGTTCATCGACAACGCCATGTTCCTTTCATGACCCTTTTCGTCAATTCAGCTTTCGTAGTTACTGGAACGTCGTGCGCCTCTGCCGCCTTTACCGCAAGACCTTTTTCGGTGGAGGCAAGAGAAAGCTGATGCCATTTTTGGACGCCTGCAAATGACCTTGTCTGAGGCTGACGAGGATCGCACACCCGAGTGCTTGGGTGCTTGGGTGCTTCCAAGGAGCTAACTCGAAAAAGGAGGGCATCCGGCGCAGTCGGCCATCGTCCGGGACAACAATGCTTTTCAGGAAGGCCACTGACATGGATACTCTATTCAACCTTGAGCTTCGCACAGATGGTGAATAATAATGATAATGATAATAATCAATATTCGGAATGAAAGGGGGTAGAGGAGCGAAGCGGCTGTGAAGAGTGTTGCGTGAGTGCCTACATCATCGTGACTCGTCACAATCTGCTTGGCTGTGGCTTGTCCTGCATCAACGTTGTTCTCCGTCTCAGTTTCCTCCTGAGCCTATTCTCCTGTGCCCAAGATTTAATTGGCGCGCCAATCCCGCAATAACGGCGCATAGCCATCAACCAACACTGACATTGATTCATTCCGCGCTTCTCTGAATTTGGAGGTTCTGGCCAAAGAGCTCGAACTTTGACCCGTAACCAGTGCAGTGCAATAGCTGGCACAGCGCACTGACATGATGGCAGGCAATTTTCTTCGCACCAAGGCGTCAGACTGACTGTCTGTGTGCCTGGCTCCTGCGTGTCTGGACAGGGCTTGCTTCCGCCTAGCTGAGAGAATCCGGGGGAGTGCTTTCTTGGAGCTGGATGGCGCACAGCTTCTCTTGCTGTCAAAAAGTAGGGCGGCCCCAGGTGCTACAATGTGGCGTCTGTATCTAGCAAGCCTCGTCGCGTGGCAATGGAGAGGAAGGGGAGCCAAAAAAAAATTGGGCGGTGGCTACCTCTCGGTAATCTTGGCGACCTGCTCATGGCTTCCTTATCGTAATTTGGTCCTTTCCTCGTTCTGGTGGGTTTGGCTAACGAAGAATGTTGGGTCAACGAAGCATCTGGGCCCGTGTCCGACACCGGCGGTTCTCTCGAGCGCAAATCAGTTCTCTCCAATGACCACGTATGATGCTCGGCTAGGATCAGGTCAGTGGGGATGGGGAGCTGTCCCCATATGCCCATATGCATATATTGCAGGGGCAGGACCAAGGATAAGCCAGGAGGGGGTAGCAAAAGGATGCCTACCAGTAGTTACGAGCACTGGGCTCCAAATACGTAATTTCGTCAGACACAAGGCATGAAATGCTCGACCAAAGTACAGGCCTTGATCGGAATGGTCATACTTAGAGTTCCCCGCCGCTGGAATGCTCGTGCCATCGGTGGCTTGGATATGGTTGGGCGTCAATAAATGTCCGTTGGAACCAAAAGAGGGGATTCTCATATGCGTAACAACGGGCGTCTGCACCCGGACAGCCCAACTGCAGCCTTGTTTGCCAATGTTGGCCCTCCACTTCGCGACCGAGGGAGTATTGAGCTGCGCATTTGCCAAAGGGGCATGCATGTCGGGAATGCCTCTCATCAGCTGCCAGCTGATTGCACATCCTTTCATCCGTCGCATTGCTGCAATTTCGGGATCAGTGAGACGGCGTTTCTGAATCCCTCACTTTCCGTAGTGTCTTGAATTACTTGGCACACCCGTAACCATGTCCATAGGAGCCGTTTCCAAGCCGGTATTCCACGTGCTGGCGGTCCACTGTAGTGCGCCACTTCGATAGTCTGTAGCAGCCGTTCCAAGAGACCCTTTCTTGGCCCAGACGAGGGCAGAATCACATTTTGCTTTGCTTCTAGGCAACGGAAAACGACAGCTGGTGTCTATTAGACAATAACCACCACCGAACAAGCAACATCACCCGCGTTAGCGCAGCTCTGTCAAGCATGCGACTAGACCAGACTGGTGCGCGCCTCCGTAGCCAAGGTGGTGAACTCCACCAGTTGACATCCAGCAAACCACACAGAGGGTGGTTGAATGTCATCGCGAGTGCTGGAGCTGAATGGTTTCGGAGTCTGTCGCTGCTTGTTCAATTTGCCCCTTGTAATCCCTGCGGCCTGCATTCTGCATTTTCTTCTTGCCCTTTTTGTGCTTTTTCCTCTTCAGGTCTTTTCCCGTGCCGGACGAGGTCCACAACCCGAGGCATCGTTGCCAAGAAGAATTAATTTCCCGCTTCTTGACTCTGTAGCAGATGTATGGTCCATATGTAGCTTTTCTTGTCGATCCAGGTTTGCCTACCAACCTGACTCCGAGAGTTTGCCTCGCGATGGTGTAAACTCTATCCATTGTCCCACCAGACTTTCACCGCGGGTTCCACACGCACTGCATCCCCCGGTGGGCTTGGGGGAGGCTTGGGGGATCGATATGGCGCAATGCCTTCTCTTGGCTCCTCAGCCGCACGCGTGATTCCGCATATCGAGCGAAATATTGGCGCTATAATTGATTGCGGTCCCAGTAAAGTTTGGTCTCGTCTAGGCCATTACGAATTTCTCATTTCGTCGCCGATTCGCCGCCGAGGTTCGTTCTTTAACTAATACTGAGTAATTAATAGTTACACGGAGCTGGCTCACTTTGGCAATGCCAAAGTCATGGCGATAAAATGAATGAATCTCAATGACGGGATGGTTAAGCACTGGTAGCTTCGCAGGGGGTAACTAACAGCTGGGCAAATACGTCGATTGAAAACGGTTTGGTAGGCGAATGCGCGCGGCGGCGCCAAAGAATCTATCTCCGCGCTCATGAGCGCCGAGTCGTCATAGGTAAGGCGCAAGTCTCTGCTGTCTCGGGAGTTGGTTGCGAGGCGTGAGATTAGGGCTGGCTGCACATCTTGAGATTGTCGAGGCTGTATTTTTGGCGGTCAATGGCTTGGTGGCGAGTCTCGGAGAGATGCCGACTCAACCTAAAATACGGTAGGCGTCGCAATGAAGACCTTCGGAGTCGCCAGAGTCGAGGCCGTCTTACCAAAGGTGTCTCAACGACAGCCGGCTGTGGCACCCTAGCTGGCTATCGGTCCTCAAGCTGAGAGGCGACGGGAGAGACGAGTACGCGGATCGGCGTGGTGGCGCATGGCGTACGGGTGCTCCAGACCCAACGCCCACCCCGTGGTTGTCCTGACGGCAAGTTTCCGATGTCTGGGGTTTGGATGTGGCGACTCTAGCAGCACGCCAAAATCTAACGGCGACCCTGTGGCTCTGGTGCCGGTCTAAAGTCAGCCACTAGCTGCAAGTAGTTTGGTGTAAGGAAAGCTGCGAGTCTGCTTTGGGCAGCTGGAGATGTCGGTCGCACGATTGGACGGTGTGAGGATAGTCATGCTGGGCCAGGCGCAGCCACGACAGCGCCTCAACAGATCGAGACATGATACTGGTGGAACGGGGCTGCTATCGTGGTGGCTAATAATGAACCGTGGCCGAAAACGGCTGGGACCAAGTCTGATGCGTGGCTGCTATCTGTGGGACGAGGAAGCCTCCCTCAAGCCACTAGCCAGTGTGCTGGTATTGTTGCGCAGGCTCGCCTCAGCTGAGGACTCTTACGGCGAGGGTT